CCTGGAGGCGCACCTCAAAGAGTGCGAGCACATCAAGTGTCCTCACTCCAAGTACGGGTGAGTGGGTGGGGGTGGGGGCTGATTGGGGAGGACAGGAAGGGCCCCATCCTGGGATGGACATGGCCTAGTCAGTGGCTGCAGTCCCATTGAACCTTGTGGCAAGTCTCCATGGCGCAGCAACCAGGCCAGGGGCAGGGGGTGTCGGCCGTCGGGGCTGGGCGGCGGGGGATGCTGGCCAGGCCAGGAGTCAAGCAGCTGAGGGCTTTCAGTCAGGGTGGGGGGCTGGGCAGCATTGGGTGCCTGCCAGGCAGCTGGGGGTGTGGGCAGCCGAGCAGCAGGGCCTGCTGGCCAGGTCAAGGGTCAGGTGGTCGGGGGACAGCTGTCGTGTCCCCCAGGTGCACATTCGTCGGGAACCAGGACACATATGAGACACATCTGGAGACTTGCCGCTTCGAGGGTCTGAAGGAGTTCCTGCAGCAGACGGACGACCGCTTCCATGAGATGCACGTGGCGCTGGCGCAGAAGGAGCAGGAGATCGGCTTCCTGCGCTCCATGCTGGGCAAGCTCTCCGAAAGGGTCGACCAGCTGGAGAAGAGCCTGGAACTCAAGTTCGGTGAGAGCCGGCTGGGGCCCAGGCACACTGCTGCGCCTGGCCTGCTGTGACACTCTGCTCTCCCCGACAGACGTGCTGGACGAGAACCAGAGCAAGCTCAGTGAGGACCTCATGGAGTTCCGAAGGGACGCATCCATGCTGAACGTGTGTGGGCTGGGCCGCAGACGGGAGGGTGTGGGCAGGCCCCTCCCGTGTCCCCACTAGTCAGGGTTATGGGTCTCTATCTGGGGAGGGCTGTTGGCCCCTGCCCACCCTATGAGGCCCCAGGCCCAGAGCAGGAGGCGCGTTGGCAGCCCCACCTACCTGCTCTGTCCTTGGCCTTACAGGACGAGCTGTCCCACATCAATGCGCGGCTGAACATGGGCATCCTGGGGTGTAAGTACCTACCATGACTGCTGCACCTGCCCACACCCTCAGCCCACCCCACGGCGCCTGCCCGGGTCTCCCTCCTCATCCCCGGACTGCAGTCTCCTGCCTTCCTGGGTCTCTCACACCTCACCCGCATCTCCTGTGTCCCGTAGCTTACGACCCTCAGCAAATTTTCAAGTGCAAAGGGACCTTCGTGGGCCACCAGGGCCCAGTCTGGTGTCTCTGTGTCTACTCCATGGGAGACCTGCTCTTCAGCGGCTCCTCTGACAAGACCATCAAGGTGGGGTGTGGCCAGAAGTGCCTCTGCCAGCCGCCCCTACGCCCCCAGGGTGACTGGCACCTCCTCACTCCTATCCTGCTGGCTCCTACAGGTGTGGGACACATGTACTACCTACAAGTGCCAGAAGACACTGGAGGGCCACGATGGCATTGTGCTGGCACTCTGCATCCAGGGGTGGGTCCAGGCATGGGACACCGGCCCTGGGTCCTGAGGGAGGGTGGGCCGGGAAGGACCCAGGAGCTCAGAATCAAGGTTATCGTGGCCTGAGCCCCTAGTCCAGCCACCTCCACCCACTGCAGGGTGGCCTGGGCCCTAGACCCTCCATGTATGTAGCGCTGGGAGGCGGGGTCCAGAGAAGCAGAGGCCAGCTCCTAGGGAACAGCTGCCCGCCCACCTGCCGGTCTGCCATCCGGCAGCTCGGAGTTGGCTCAGTGCTTGTGAGCTGGTCATCACCTCCCAGCTCAGCCGTCAGACGCTTTCTGGGCAGGCATGACTCCCAAGGCTCCCACCCTGAGACTGGCTGAGAGAGATGGTCATATTGCTAGCCATGGTGCCAGTTGGGGCAGTGGCTTTGCAAGCAGTGCTTCCCCAATCCTGCCCACAGGTGCAAACTCTACAGTGGCTCAGCAGACTGCACCATCATTGTGAGTGGGGTCTGTAGTGGGTGGGCAGCAGCAGCCCAGGGCTGCGCCGGGGCTTGGGGCTGCAGGGCTGGGGACTGTGCCGGGGCTGCGCCGGGGCTCGGAGCTATGCCGGGGCTTGGGGCTGCGGGGCTCAGGGTTGTGCCGGGGCTCGGGGCTGCGCTGGGGCTCTGGGCTGTGGGGTTAGTCATGGCTTCTGCTGCCCCAGGTGTGGGACATCCAGAACCTGCAGAAGGTGAACACCATTCGGGCCCACGACAACCCCGTGTGCACTCTGGTGTCCTCCCACAACATGCTCTTTAGTGGCTCCCTGAAGGCCATCAAGGTACAGGCACGGTTTGGGGGCTGGGGGTGCCTGGGGCGCGGTGTGCACACGGCCCAGGCTCACTGGCACCCCCACAGGTCTGGGATATCGTGGGCACTGAGCTGAAGCTGAAGAAGGAGCTCACGGGCCTCAACCACTGGGTACGGGCTCTGGTGGCTGCTCAGAGCTACCTGTACAGCGGCTCCTACCAGACAATCAAGGTGCGCCACTGCCCCAGTGCAAGGACCCTGCTCTGGGGGCGCCCTCTGCCTGGCCCCCCGACACACCCTAAGGACCCTGCTCTGGGGGCGCCCTCTGGCCCCCCGAAACACCCTAAGGACCCTGCTCTGGGGGTGCCCTCTGCCTGCCCCCCGACCCTAAGCAGCTGTGTCTGCCCTCAGATCTGGGACATTCGGACCCTCGACTGCATCCACGTCCTACAGACGTCTGGCGGAAGTGTCTACTCAATCGCGGTGACGAATCATCACATCGTGTGTGGCACCTACGAGAACCTCATCCATGTAAGTGCCAGCCCCGGGCAGGGGCGTCTGCCACCACTGCGTCCCATGGGTCTGACCCCCTGTGTCCACCAGGTGTGGGACATTGAGTCCAAGGAGCAGGTGCGGACCCTGACGGGCCACGTGGGTACAGTGTATGCCCTGGCGGTCATCTCAACGCCAGACCAGACCAAAGTCTTCAGTGCATCCTACGACCGATCCCTGAGGGTGAGTGCTGGCTGGGGCTGCAGGAGGCCCGGGCTGGGTGCTGCAGGAGGCCCGGGCTGGGTGCTGCAGGAGGCCTGGGCTGGGTGCTGCAGGAGGCCCGGGCTGGGGCTGGGCGCCGGCCGGGCTGGGGCTGGTCCTCATACCTTGTGTGTCCCCAGGTCTGGAGCATGGACAACATGATCTGCACACAGACCCTGCTGCGCCACCAGGGCAGCGTGACGGCGCTGGCCGTGTCCCGGGGCCGGCTCTTCTCAGGGGCCGTGGACAGCACTGTGAAGGTCGGTGCCTGTGGCATGGCCACCCTAGGGAGGGGCTGCACGGGCCCCCCCTCAAACAGCCCCCTTCTTCGCAGGTTTGGACTTGCTAGCCGAAGCCAGGCCAGGCTAGCCACGTGACAAGGTCTCGGGGTCTTCTGCCTGCCCTGGGGGATGGGTGGACGGGCTCAGGTGGTCGGCAGTGCCTTCCCTGCCCCACACTCAGCCTCACTCCCTCGGCCTGGTCCTTCCTGTTGCCCAGACAGTAGCCAGGCCCCTCTCCCTGGGCGCCAGGTACGCCGCCCGCAGCCCTGCTCTGCCCTGTGCCGGCCCGCGGGCCTTTTTATTACCCTTTTCTACTGTTTTTAGGCTGTACATAGATTTGATTACTCCTGATGGAATAAACGCTGCACCCACGGTGGCTGTGTGTGGGTGAGGGCGTCGCCGGCACCTCTCAGCCTCCCTGCCACCCCAATTCCCGGCCTCTAGTGCTCCCTCTGCCCAACACGTGCACCCCCAGACAAGCCACGCCTTCACAGACTGAGCCAGGCAGCTCCATTTTCTGTTTATTGCCGGCCCAGCCCTCCCTGCCCACTGCGGGAGGCCCGGCCTGGGCCACCCTCCCCGCCCAGGAGAGGCCAGTGGACACCCGCAGGCAGGATGGATACAAGGGCCCTGCCCCCACCCCCACCCCGGCGTCTGCCTGGTCCCTCCGTCAGCCCCACACCACAACTGCGAATTCGACATTTTTAAAAATTTGGGGTATTTTTTTCGGGGTTTTTTTTGTTTGTTTTTACGAAATGTCAAAGTTGTGCCCAATACTTGTGAACCAGCAAACGCAACAGGAGACCCGTCTAGTCGTGGGGAGGAGGGGAGTAGGGCAAGAACGACACACACAGCCTCGGGCCGCGGCAGAAGCGTCCACGGGGATGGGAAGGCCAGGCACACCCTGACACAAGTGTCCACTCCTCTGACTGTCCCCTGGCCACCATGCTGGCACCACCGAGTCACAGGTGCTGCACCCGGGACCAGCCCCTTCCTCACACTCCCCGTGGCCAACAGGACAAGCCCATTAGTGAGCAAGGCACACCCTTGGAGTTCTGGGGACGCAGAGGGGAGGGGAGGATGCCCCCTGGGGGACGCCAGCCCCTGCATGTGCAAGTGGTCACGGGGACCTGGCCACTCCCGGGCAGAGGGACAGATACCTGGACTGGGCCAGGACTCCAGTGTCCTTCCAGCTGGTAAAATGGTTTTCTATAGAATCAATAATATTTCTTTCTTTAAATATATATTTGTTAAAGTTATACCTTTTTTGTTTCTCTGGGGAAATTCGCTTCAGCTCATTTCCAATAAATTAATACTCTTGATAGCTTATATTCTGGGGTGCAGTGGGGCGGGGGAGCTGGGGCGCTGCGTCCCGACCTCGGTCCTCTGTCCCCTGTGCGGTGCCGGAGGCGGGCAGAGGTTCCCCAACGGGCAGCTCTGTGCTGGGCAAAAGCCTGTGCTTGCCGCCGACTGGGCCTCCCGGTGCCCGCAAGCGCCAGGACGGGGCCGGGTCGGGGCCTGCGCAGGTGGGCGGGTGCCCAGTTATTGCACAGGGAGCAGCAGACGGGGCGGGCACCCGCGGGGACAGCAGCGTCTCCAGAGCCCTTGGAGCCTCCCGGCTGGCGCGCAGCCAGGGCCCGGGCGCCTTGTGCTTGTGCGCGCCGGCGAGCAGCGCCCGCCGCCCGCAGGGCCGCCCCGCCGCCCGGAGGAGCCCACCCTGAGGTAAAGGTCAGTGCGGGGCGGGCCCGACGTGGCCGTGCGCGGCCGCGTCACTCCAGCATGGCGTCCAGCTGGTCGGCCAGGTCGTCGAACATGCTGCCGATGTCGTCCAGAATGCTGCCCGTGCTCTTGCCCTCGGCCGCCGCGGGGCTGGAGGCGGACCGGGGTCAGGACGGCGGTGCCAGCCGGGCGCCCCCGCTGCCCTCGCCCCGCCGTGTGCCCCTGCTGCCCGCGCCCCTGCTGCCCTCGCCCCGCCGGGCGTCCCCGCTGCCCTCACCCCGCCGTGTGCCCCTGCTGCCCTCGCCCCGCCGGGCGCCCCTGCTGCCCTCGCCCCGCCGGGCGTCCCCGCTGCCCTCGCCCCGCCGTGTGCCCCTGCTGCCCTCGCCCCGCCGGGCGCCCCTGCTGCCTGCGCCCCCGCTGCCCTCGCCCCGCCGGGCGCCCCTGCTGCCTGCGCCCCCGCTGCCCCCGCCCCGCCGGGCGCCCCTGTGGACGGCCTCACTTACCGCGGACCCTGCCCGTCCTCCTGCCGGATCTTCTCCTCCACCGCCTGCAGCGCCGCGGCCAGGCACGCGCTCGTCTCCTCCAGCTTCTGCCGAGCGCTGTCCGCGGGCGCGACCCCGTCAGGCGTCCCCGCCACGACCACGGCTGCGGCGGCGGCGCGCGGGGGCTTGGCGGGCACGTGCAGCGCGGGCGCGCCGGGGGACGGGGGCCCTGCGCCCAGCGAGGGCGGCGTGCCGGGCGGCTTGGCGAGGGCGCCGGGCGGCTGGCGCGCCGGCGAGGGCGCGGGCGACGGGCTTCCGCTGCTTGACGGCAGTCCCGCCGCAGCTTTGGCCGGCTTGGGCGCCGTGGGTGGCGGCGGCGGCTTGGGCGACACCGGCGGCGGCGTGCCGTGGGCGCGCTTCACCTCTGCGGGAAGGACACCGCTGGCACCCGGGCGGAGCAAACCCACCGCTCCGGCCCGGCTTCCCGGCTGCCGCGAGGAGGCGCGCGAGCCTTCAACCTCAGCCTCCGAACCCACCCCCTGTCCCCGGCCCCTCCAGGTGCCTGCCCAAGGGCCCAGGACTGGGGGGTGGGGGGTGTCTTCAGGCCTCGGGGCCTGGGCGCCTGGGAGCACCCTGCCTCGAGGCCTCCCCTCCCTCTGGGGCCTGCGAACAGGTGCCAAAAGGGGAGGGCCCGCGTCCACCTTGCTCCCGGCCCAGGCCGGGTACGGCGTTGCGCGTGGCTGACAGGGCAGGGGCGGGGGACGTTCCCACGCCACCTGACCTTTCTCAAACTCGAAAGAAGAGGGGCGAGACGCTGGCTCTGGCACTTACCTGGGCTGCCAGGGCCTGGCAGCGGCACCTTCTTAGAGGCGGGTGTGGGTGAGCCCTGAATCTTGGGTACGGGCTGCGCCAGGACGGGCTTGGGCGAGACAGGCGGCTTGGCCAGCTTCCGAGCGTCACCGTCCGGAGGGGGCAGAGGGGGAAGCTGCGCCAAGTCTGTGGGTGGCGGTTCAGCAGGTGGGGGTGGCGGGGGCAGCTCTGGGGCCCCTGCTTGCTCCGAGGCCGGCCTGCGCCGCGCGGTGCCCACTCCGTTCTGGTACACCGACAGCGGGGGCGGGGGCGGCTCAGGCGCAGTCTCCCGCTCCTTAGCCTTGGGCCGGCGCTTGACTGTGTCAGACTCGGTCAGGATGAACTTGACATTCTCCTGCTGGCTCTGTTTAGCTCGGATGCGCCTCTTGAGCGTGGCGCTGGCCTCCACCCTGGCCAGGGGCGGACCCTCGGCACTCGGCTCAGCCTTGGTCGGCCCTTGGGGCCGCTGCCGAGCAGCTCCATCCTCCACAGGGTGGCCTTGAGCTATAGGCTCCGCAGGCCCGCGGCGGGCAGCCAGCAGTCCCGTGACCGGCCCGCTGAGTGTGCGGCGCCGGTTTACCACCTCACCGTCAGGCCCGATGGCATCTTTGTGCTTCACCAAGGCCAGCACTGTAGCCACCTGGCCTGGCTCAGGACTGGCTGGGCGAGGGGTGTGGTGGCCCTCGGGTGGTCGGCGGGCAGCCCGGCCGCCCCCTCCGATGGAGGAGAGCTCGAGCATGGCCGCAATGCTCTTCACACTGCCTGCGCTGCCAGTGTCCACGCTGCTGGCCAGATCGCTGGCCCGCCGTCGTTGTGCCCGGACCCCCAGCCGGCCGTCCTTGGGCTCAACCTCCAGGGTTGGCTCTGGCTCGTCAGCCAGGTTGGCGCTAGCCAGGGCCGAGCTGGAACGCTTGGGGGGAGGTGGGGGGGGACCTTTCTTGCGAGGCCGCACGGCAAATGACTGGCTGCGATTGACGTTCTTGTCGGCGCCGGTGGGCGCCCTCACCGAGTGGCTGCGGCCCACACGCCGCTGCACCGTGGCATACGGCCCCGCCGCAGCCGGCACGAGAAGCTCGTCCCGCTCTGGCTCGCCGTCGGATGTCGCATAGCGGTTCAGGCTGTGGGCACGCTTCTTGGGGCGCCCTGGCTCTGCGTCAGCCTCAGGGGGCAGGCATAGTGTGGGCACTGTGGCTGGCACGGGTGGGGGCACGGGCCCAGGAGCCATCGCCCCCGCCTCGCCTTCCACAGGTTGGGGCAGCACATAGGCAAAGCCACGGTGTGTGGGGGACTGAGGCAGCGAGCGGGGTGACATGGGGCGCTCTGTGGGTGGCAGCAGCTGTGGGGTGGGTTTCACCTTGGCCGTGGCTGGGGATGGACTATGGGGTCCCCCGAGAGCCTGGGGGGAGCCTGGCCGGGCTTTGCTGGGTGTCTGTGGGGGCGTGAAGGGGCTGGTGCCTGCTGGGAGGACCTGCCGTGGCTTCCCAGGCACTGGGGGCACACTGGCCCTCTTGACGCTCTGGCCATGGCGGCCTGACCGGGCTTCCTTGGGCGGGGGGCTGGGGCCTGGGCCCTCATCCAGCAGGTACTCCTGGCTGCGCGACATTGGACTGCGGGGGCCCGGGGGCACATCACCCAGCAGCTCCTGAGAGCTGCTCATGTGCCGGGCCCGTCCCCCCAGGCCAGGCTCCGGGCGCACGCTGGCCCTGGGGGTGAGTGGCAGGTGGCTGGAAGGCTTGGCAGGAGCAGCGGCCCCTGCCTCGGCTGGGCCAGTCATGGCTGCCTGCAGCTCGCCGCTGAGCTCACTGTCCTGGAAGGTGGTCATCTTGGGAGACTGGACATCGGCCGGTGCAGGCTCAGCTGGTGGCGGCGACTCCATGGCCATCACGTCAAGCGACTGAGGCGCCTTCCGGCGCAAGGGGCCCCCCTCGTATTTGGCGTACTCAGCCTTCTGCAGCTCTGCGAGCCTCCTCACTGCCAGCATCAGTTTCTTCTGGTGTCCTGGGGGCAGGGTCACCGGCGCAGGTCAGGAGGATGCTGAGGTAGGCTCAGTGGGGCACAGGAGGGGCATGACTCACCCAGCTTCGTGATCCCAATCTCCTGCAGGTCCTCCCAGGTAATGTCGGTGATGAAGTCAATGTTTTCGTAGCCGTTGTCCACCAGGACCTTGTGGTACTGGGCCAGGCCAATCATGGACAGCCACACGGCCAGGTTAGCCTATGGAGTGGGGACATAGAGGGGCAGCCTGCAGCCTGAAGCCCCATGCCCTGCCCACCTGGCCGGGGCTGTCAGAAGGGTCACAGACAGATGGGACAGACAGACAGGCCAGGGGTCAGTGGTGGAGACGGAGTGGACACAACCTTGGCAGGAGCCCTAGAGGATAACTCCTCGGCACGGCTGCCGGGGGCTGGAGAGCACGCAGGAGCAGACACACACGTGGGGGCCCTGGCCTCAGGACCCCGGGCAGGGCAGGTGCCGAAGGATCTTCCTCAGCTAGGCCACATGGCCAGGGGCACAGCCCAGGGAGACACTCCTTCCACACACGCCCATGGACAGACACACAGCACCACCACGTACGATATGGGTAGACGCACACACTGCGTTCCCAGCCAAACCTGGGCCTGATGCCCGTCCTGCGTCACGCTCACGCTTTCCCGCCTGCACAGCCACACTGTGCACTCAGGCAGCACCCGTTGTCTTCACTCAGAACCTCACAATCACTCCCCGAACACCATTCTAGCATCTGCACTCCCAGCTGGATGTCAGTCGTGCCAACACTCTGCACCCTGAGATGCCCCACGGACACGAGGCAAGGCCACGGGGCTCCGTGTGCTCCCGGCAGGGCTACTGAGCGGCTGACTGAGTGTCGCAAGGTGGCGGGGGGTGGGGTGGGTGGGTGCAGACTACCTGTCCACACACCCTGGGTCCTGGGGACAGCCCCGCACCCCTCCTGCCAGCAGACAGGAGCCCAGAACTCAGCATGTGACCCTGAGCTGTGGCTCACAAGTTGCAAAAGGAACAGTAAGGGCCCCCGGATGTAGGCCGGTGTGTGTGTACCCTAAGTGTGTCTAGTGCACAGCTCCCAGGTATATGCCTGGGTGTGCACCCACAGTGTCTAGGGGTGCAAGCCCTCTGTGGCCTGGCAGACAGGGTCACACCATGTGGGCGCATGGGGGTCCCTTTGGAAGCAGACAGGTGGGAGGGGAGCTTGCACAGACAGCTCCCAGCCAGCCAGCATCAGCCCTGTGTTCCCTGTGAAGCCCCGCCGTAGCCAGCCAGGCAGGCACCTGTCCACCTCGTGTGCCCGTCCTGGCCGCCAGAAGGTGGGGAGGCCTTACGGGCTTGTGCTCCGGGAGCCAGTCGGGAAGGCTCAGCCCACTGATCTCTGCCGTGATCTTCTTGCGGTGGCCTGGCTTGGTGACGCCGATGGCCGTGAGGTCCTGGGCAGCGGAGACGGCTGTCAGGGCGAGGCTCGAGGACAAGGTGAGGGGATAACCACCCAGGGGGTGTGGCTCACCTCGGGGGTCATGCGGCTGATGGTGGGCAGGTCATAACCTGCTCCCGTGAAATTGGGGGCGTAGAGCTGCAGCTGGAATGTGGCGAGCCACTGGCTGACTGCCTCTGCGCTCTGCAAGACAGCAAGGCACGTGCTGCAACCCGCCGCCAGCCAGCCCACACCCAGCCACCAGGCGCCTCCTTCTCTGCTGGCCGGCAGGCCCAGGGCGCAGGTCCGCTGTCCGCTGGTCCTCCGTCTGCAGTAGCGCCCCTGGCGAGCCCGGCCAAGGCGCTCCTCGGACGCCGTCCCACGTGCCTCTTCCTCATATGTCTTCCTCCTCTTCTGTGAGCTCCACCAGGAGGGTCCGGCTTGGTTTGGGTCCTGGCCTCCTGACCTCCCCTCCGACACCTTGGACAACCACCCATGCCAGTGCTGTGTGGCCTCTCACGTGACAGAGCGCTGGGGGGAAGGGGCCCTGGGCCAGGCTCCCAGGAAGGTGTGCCATGTACCCCTCCGCCACGCAGGACTCAGCCAGCAGCTCCTGCCTCCTGGCACACGGGTGCACACACGCCCCTGATCACCTCACACCCATCCCCCTTCACCTGCAACACACACACACGCCTGCCCAGCTCAATCACTTCGTCGCACACACTGGCACAGCCACAGCCACTCCATCCACAGCTCCACACCACCACCGCCTCTCACATCCTAGCTTACACAGATGACATCGTTACACACGGGCACGGGCACGCACAACACACGTACACACACTGACAGACACGAGGATGGGGTCCAGCCTATCAGGGCCCCCAGGTGGCACCTGGGCACCCATCAGACAGCGGCCCCGGCCTCTCCCAGAGCCTGCCCTGGGGCCGGCTCAGGGCCCGTACCTTGCCTTCTGATGCAGGTTCTAGCTTCTTGGGCGGCTGCTCCGCGTATACTGGCCCTGTGTGAGCCACTGGGGGCTGGGGTCGGGCTGCACCTAGGTAGGTGAGAGCAGTACTAGGTGCGGGGTTGGGGGAATCAAGAACAGCGCCCCCTGCAGCCAGGGCGGCTGTGCCTTTGCCCTCACCTGCAGAGCCCTCGGCGAGCTTGGCGGGACTGTCTCCCGGACTGGATTCAGAGACTGGCTTCTGGGAAAGCACCGTGGCCAGGAGCTGGAACCCAGGGACCCGGGTCAGGGTGTGCTCTGGGCCCCCACACTCAGCCACCCTGGCCTGGGTCCCCAACCCTACCCACCTTGACCCCCTCTGAGCCCGCGTGCAGGGCGTGGCCACCGCTGCCCCGGCTCCCGGCCGCACTGCTCACACTGCCGCTGCGGTCCCCACCTACAGGCACAAAAGGCTCATCCTTTGCAGGGCTGCCACTGACCCAGCCCTCTGAGGCCCCCAGCCTACCTGTGAGAGGCTTCCGTAGCACCCAGATCTCCTCTGGGGGTGCAGCAGGACCCGATGAGGCGCCTCCCTGGGGTGGGCTTGGTTCACCACCTGCCCGGGACCCTGCAAGCCCAGCACAGACTCCATGAGGTCAGGGTGTTCCACCAAGGGTTACACCACAGCCTCCTCCTCCTGCCATGGCCATTTCCAGAAAGTAGAGACTTCCCAGGGCTAGCGACAGTGGTGTACCAAGTTATGCTGCCAATCCAATATGGACTGGCATGTCCTGACTACTCCACTTTTGATCCAGCTCCCTGGGCATGTGCCTGGGAGAGCAGTGAAGGCTTGCCCAAGTGCTTGGGCCCCAAAAGCAAAAAAGCTCTGGACTCCTGGTGTCCAACTGGCCCTGCCCTGGTTATTGTGGCCATTTGGGGAGTGAATCAGCAGATGGAAGATCTCTGTCTCTCTCTAACTCTGATTTTGAAATAAATAAACAAATCTTTAGCAAGAGAGAGAAACTTCCCTTTCCCTTAGGCCCGGGGGCCTAAGATCAGCCTCCTACCAGGGGTCGCAGGTCTGTGGACAGGGTTCTTAGGGTCCCTGAGGGTGTGGCCACTCAGTGTGGCCTTCTTTACAGGGACCGGGGGTCTCATAGGCACTGGGAAACTGCACCGCCTGGCCCTCTGCCTGCTCTCACCACCTGGCCATCTCCATATCCCAAGGACGCAGCATATGACTCCCCTCGCCACCCACGCAGTGCCACCCCAAGGCTCCATGACCTGGCCTGTGCCCTTCTCCTGGCCTTTGCACTGACCACACTGGCCTCTGCCCACAGTCTTCAGTCACATCAAGCTGGTCTCTGTGTCTCCACTCCCATGGCTAGCTCCTTGAGGGCAAGGAACCCTGATGTCCCCAGCTGCCATTCTGAGTGGGAACAGGGCAGTGGGCAGAGTGTGGTGTGGAGACCACATGGGGGATGGGCACACAGACACCTGCCTGGTCACTGTACCCTGGTATTCAGCCTGCCACCCTCCTCCCGGGACCTGGTTAGGACTTGCCTGCTCGCTTGACGATGGCCTCGCCCAGGGAGGATGGGAAGTAGCCCACACGGTCATGGCCTGTCCGGTTGTCATGGATACAGCCCTTCCACCGGCCATCCGCATGCTGCTCCAGGACCTGGCGGGGCATGGGGCGTATGGCTCGGGGGCGCCCAGACTGGAAGTTGCTGTGGCCAGGCACATGTGCCGGTCTGGCCCCGCTGCGGTCGCCCCCATGTCCTTACCGTGATGATGTCCCCTGCCTTCACGTTGAGGCTGGTCAGGTCATAATTGTTGCAGTAATCCTTAGTGGCCCGCACCTGCAAGGCTGCCGAAGCCTCTGGGGACACAAGAGGTAGACCCCCAGTTCTGCACGCTGCCCAGCCAGGCCTGACAGCCCACCCGTATAGCCCCCAGCACCTGGCCTGCCCGGCCTACCCACCCCTCAGCAGCTGCTTGATCTCCTTGCTGGCCTGGGACGTGGTGAACTGGTGTACAATGTCCAGGGCCGTCTGGCTGTAGGTGTTCCTCACGTGGGCGTTGATTCCGCTCTGCAGGGGCGGGCAGGCACCGTGCCTGTCGGGTCAGGGCCTGGCCCCAACTCTCCCCAGCCCCCAGACTCACGTCCAGCAGCAGCCGCACCACTTCCATCTTCCCACAGAAGGGCCCCGGGTCCCCCCAGCCCACTGCCCAGCCCCTTGGACTCACGTCCAACAGCAATCGAACCACTTCTGTCTTCCCGCAGAGGGCGGCCTCGTGCAGGGCCGTGCCTGCCTTGGTCTGGCGGTTGATGTCGATGCCGGCTTGGAGGAGGAGCCTGGGGGGTGGGGAGGGAGCCTCACCCAGCGCCTCCCACCACCCCCGTGCCCTGCACTCTGTGCTGACCCTCCGTTCCAGTGTACCCCCACTTTACAGGATGGGAGATCGAGGGGCTCCTCGGGTCTCCTGTGGCTGGCGGCTGCTGTCCGCCCCCTAGGCTGGGGGCAGGCCCCAAGATCAGGCCCCCTCCTGCCACTGGTCATACCTGATGATGTCAATGTGGCCGTTCTTGGCTGCCAGGTGCAGGGGGCTGGTGCCATTGGGGTCAGTGGCATCCCCCGGCCGGGGCTCCAGCAGGGCCGCACACATGTTGCTGCTCAGAAGCAGCTGGACCACCTTGAAGGAGGGGGTCAGGGTGGGCGAGGTGAAAGGGGAAGGCCTGGCCTGGGGCTACCCCGGGTGAGGAGGTAGGCAGGGTGGCAGTGCCTCCCAAGTTCCTAAGGGAAGACTTACCCCAACTCGGCCGAACTCACAAGCCAGGTCAAGGGGCGTCTTCCCAGAGTTGTCCACCATGCAGGGGTTGGACTGATGCTGCAGCAGCATCTCCGACTGGCCAGGATTGGGGGACCGTGGCATCTGGTCAGGTCCCAGGGCACCCTGAGCCCCGCAGCCCCGCCCGCTCTACGGCCCCGTGTGGTCCTCACCACGTCGTAGTGGCCATGCTGGGCCGCCAGGTGCAAGGGAATGTGGCCCTCGTCGGATGGGATGTTCACCGCCGAGCCGGCCTTCAACACCAGCTTCATGGGCTCCTTCCGGCCCTGCCAGGCCGCGTAGTGCAAGGGCCGCATGCCTGGGGGCAGGCGGGGTCCATGGGAGCTACCCTCCTGCAGCCCTACCATCCTTACGCTGACCACGCAAGGACCTGCTGCCACCCTCAGCACCGCCTCCGGGCCCCCAGGCCAGCCTTGCCTTTATTGTCCTTGATGTCCACAGCAGCCTGCGCCTCCAGCAGCAACGTGATGAGTTCTGTGTTGCCGTTCAGAGCCGCGTGGTGCAAGGCAGAGAAACTAAGGGCAGGAGATGTGGAGGACCCGTCTCACGGGGGACCCAGGGCCCCGGCCTGCCCACCCCAGTTCTGGTTGGCAACATGACAGAAGGCTCACCCATCTGGATCCTGGAAGTTGACGTTGATTTTCTTGGTGGAGCCGAGCAGCTCTGGGATGTGGGGGAAGCAGGGTTAGCGGCAGCCCTGCCAGCCCTCTCCCACTCCCCGTCCTGACCACCTCAGCAAGTACAGGTGCTTCCTTCTCCCTCCGGGCTGGGCCCAAGGCTAGGGTTCTGTTTGCTCATTCACTCAGCACCAATCACCTGCCACGGGGCCCTGCAGCATCCTCTGAGCCAGGAGATGCGGGGACAGACGGGAGCAGGGTGCTGGCACCTACATGGCACACACGTGCGCCCACACCCCCACCCCTCGGGGAGGATGGCTGGGAACCTGCCCAGGGTGGGAGAGCTCTGCCCAATCTGTCTCTCAGGGACCCAGATGGGGCCGGGGGTGGTGGCAAGACTGAACACCCAGAAAAGGGGTATTTCCGGGGAGAGAGCTACCCCTCGGAGGTGTAGTCGCCAAGTTTTGCCCTGGCGGTGTAGACAGATGTGGGGCAGAGGGAGAGGGAGGCAGTTGGGTCAGTGCCCCTGAGATGCCCCAGGAATAGCCACTGGTCCACGGGGCCACACTCAGACCCCAGGGCCTTCCATTCAGGGCCTCAGCCCTCTCCATCCGCCAATGGCTTCCCAGTGGGCCCGAGTCCACACGGACTTGGGCCAAGCCCGTCAGTGCAGGCTGTGGTTACATAACCCATTTGTGGGTCAGCCGCTCCTCCTTGAGGGGGCGTCTGGCAGGACAGAAACCCCTTTGTCTGGGCCCTGGGACGGGCTGGGGGCAGGGCCGCTGAGGTGGGTGTCCCAGAGCCCCAGCTACTGTGGCCTCAGTGTCAGTCGTAACAACCCCTTAAACTCATGAGGTCAAGCAGACTCAAATTCGAATCCGTATCTTGCCATGGTGTGGCCACTGTACACAGGTATTTGTAGGTACAGCACGGGTCCCAACTGTACATCCCAGAAATACTCCGTTTCTGGGTGTTCGGCCTTGCCAGCAGGGGGCAGGCTCAGGAAAGCCCAGCCACTGGTCATCCCCACTGCCCCCACCCTGCACCAGCCTGGACAATTTTTGAGGACTAAAGCTGCCAGCCTCCCTGTCGCCTCCCCAACACAGAGCCACTTAGCCCCCCTTCCCATTGGTGGTCTTTCTTGCATCTTCTGTCTTGTCTGTTAGCAAATATTAGGTCCCCTCCCTTCAAGATGCCAGCACAGCACACTGGACCTCACCCCATGGCCACGCCCTGGCTCAGGTCTGACCCACCCACCATTCTCCACAGCCACCACTCGCCTCCCTCACCCCTGTCCTCGCCTGGCTGTGCCCTGCTCAGTCTTCCTCTCTCTCAAGGCAACTCCCTTCCTAGCCTGTGTCCAGTGTGTCTGTCCTATTTGCTCATTGTCTAGCTGGACCCTGCAGAAGAGGTGTGCTTCTGGCTCCACCATGCTCTTGGTGGCTGCAGTGGCGCCAGCCCCAGGCTAGGTGCTTGGCCAGGTGGCGATGGAGAGGGTATCCTCGAGCCACATGCTCTGTCCACTGTGGGGTCAGCCTTTGGGTGGCGCCCTGCCTCTGTCCTGCTCCAAGGCCTATCCAGCCTGTTCTCCACAGCCACTTCTCAGGGCCAGCCCCGCCTCTCCCTCCTGGCCACCAGCTTGGGGCATTTTCTGGCTGGAGCCCTGCTCACAGCCAGATCTGCCTGCTTATCTGGCCACACCTGCAGGGGCTGACAAAGAAGCAGTATCCAGAAAATGAGGCAGACACCAGTGAGGGAGGGGTGACCCCACCAGGAGGGGGACTACCCCTACAAGCTGGGTGCCACTAGGGGGTAGCAAGCCCTGCCTGCTCATGAGGCTTGTCAGGAAATAGGTCGGAGGGCGTGGTAAGCCCAAGGTGCCCCCAGCTCTGTGGGGTCCTGGAGGAATGCAGGGCTTGCTCACAAGGAGTGGCACCCCCACTTCACCTCCTAGCCCCAGCTACTAGGACCAGGCTGACCGCAACATTCAAGGTGGGGACACCACGACAGGGCACACACAGCCGGCCTGAGTCAGGTCGGCCCCCCGCCCTGGCGGCTTCTCCCAGGGATCTCCACCAAAGTCAGCTGTAGATGCACAAGAGGAGGGTCCCTGCAGGGCGAGGTGCACGGGGGGCTGCTGGAGCCTGAACTGACACTGTAAGTGAGGGAAGAGACCCACGCAGCAAGAGGTGGCTGTGGAGGTGAGTGGCTCAGAGGACACTGCTGGACAGCCTCCCCATGGTCCAAACTCCAGCAGCACTTTGCGGAATCAAAACACATCTTACTCCAAAGCAGGCCAGCGTTGCCATGACAACAGAGCTAATTCCTGGAGGGATTTCTCTCTGATTTGTTTCGTCCGCCCCTGTGAGTCAGAGTGCGTGCGGGCGGCAGGGGGTGCGTGGAGCTGGGGCAGGTGTCTCTCTGGCCCCAGAGGCCACACCAGTTTACAGGAGGAATCAGGGAACCAGGTAAAGGTGATGGGGGCTCCTGGCAGCCGTGCCTCCCCCTGGTGGCCAGAACCATCACATCCCCAGCCCTGCTTCCCTGGCACCCTGCCCAGGGCTCCGGGTGCCCAGGGCCTGCCATGTACCTCCTCCGTTCCTACAGATGACCAGACTGGGACCCAAGGTCACATGATCGCAGGTTGCAACCCCCCAACCCTGTCAGCTCCCTACCATCTTCAGGGCCCTGACTGCCTGCCCCCCACGGGGGGGGGGGCAGGGCCGGGTAGGGCAGGGTTAGCTCGTGCCTGTGCCCGCAAGGCACTGCTGCCCTCGCCTGACCACGCAGGAGCCCAGGGGATCCCCTGAGGCGTTGGGACTGCCTCCACCCACCCAGGAGGCAGTCCCACTTTCCAGTGCCCATGAGGGGAGGGTATGGGGGTCTCCCTGCCTTATCACAGCACGCCCCTGCCCCCTCCGGGGCACCCAGACCTCGAGTGCCGGCCCGCTGGGGCCCACACAGGTGCCTGATACACTGACATGGCCACATACGTGCGCAGCCACACACGCCCATCCGCCCAGAGAGGCTACCGTTTGGGCCCCTACAGTGCGCACGCTAGGGATGGGCGGTGGGGCCCACTCCCTCTCCGACCCCTTTTCCAGTATGTTACACAGGGAGAACCAGCATCTGCAGATACCCATGGGACCCTCGGGCCCCCAGTCTTCGCCTCCCCCCACCCCGCCGTGCAAGGAGCCAGGGCGTCCTGAGCTGGGCGACCTTGGGCCTCTACTGTCCCAGCCGTAAATGGCCCCCTGCGGCCATGCCTGGGCAGCCACACCCCCAGCATGGTCCTGCCCCCCCTTTCCCCCAAAACGTGTTTCTAAACACCGGGGGGGGGGGGGGTAGGTATCAGCCTCCTTGGCGCCCTCACCGCAAGGGCTCCATCCCGCTTTTCAAGGTGGAGGGGGGCGCATCCGCCTCGCCCCAACAGAGACCTCAGCTGTCAGCCGTAGGCCGGGAGGCAGGGATGCGAATGCCCGCGGCTGGCGGGCGCTCGGGTGGTGCGCCTTCGCCAGCGCTGGGGGCTCGGTGCGGGGTGGGGGGCGCAGACTCGGGGTCCCCGGCGCCGCTGGCCCCGCCCCGTCCCAGGGGACCCGGCCACCTCGCCTCCCCGCCCGGCGCCGGCACGGGTGGGGGGCCGGACGCCGGAGACGAGCGGCCGCGGCGCGCCCCCCGCACTCACTGGCCTTGCCGGGCCGCGGCCTCTGCAGCAGGCGCTGCGCGGTGCCCACGTCCTCCGCCTTCACCGCCTGCACCAGCTCCTGCTCCTTCCCCATGGCGCGGCGGGGCCGCAGCGACGCGGCTGCGCTCGGCGGATCCGCGGCTCAGCGGCGGCGGCCGTCCCGCATCCTCCGCCGCCCGCCGCCCCTTCGCCCCGCTCGGGCTCGGCGCGGAGGGGGCGGGGAGCGCGTCACGGGCGGGGGGCGGCCGGCGGCGGCGGGCGCGGGGCGGGGGCGCGGCACCTGGCACCGCCTCCCGGACGCCTGGGTCCGCCGCGCCGGCCGCCGACCTCCGTCAGCCCGCGCCCGCGCGCCCGTGGCTCCGCCCCTCCGGCGGCCCCTTCCCCGACGCCCCCTCCTCACGGGCCGGGGCTGAGCGCGGCGGCCGCCGGGGGCTGGGCACGGCGAGCCCCGACCCTGCCGCGCTGCGCCCGGGCGAGGCTGCGGGACCCGCCGAGCGGGGAGGGGCGAGCTCGGAGGCGGCGGGGCGGGAGGGGACCGGCACGGGGACCCGGGCGCCCGGGCTCACACATTTCTGGCCCGTGGTTCCTTCCCGTGGGAGGTGTCAGGGACTGCGAAGAGGAATCTCCCAATAATGAATTCGGTGTCGGGGAAACCCGCACCCCCTCCCGCTGCACCCCATTATTCCCTCTTTCCCTGCAGCCTGTGAGCCCTCTCCGCCCAGGAGGGCGACCCCCCAGCTCCTGCCTGTGGCCCCCGTCCTCCCCTGCGTAGGGAAGGTCAGCCGGAACTCTGGCTCTGCTACCAAGGGGGGCCACGCTACCCCAGCCCCGCAAATGGGGGCACAGCCCAGCCAGCGGCTGGATGCCTTCCTCAAACCTGCTACTCCCAGGTGGCAACTCCTGCCCCTTACGCTGGACATTCCTGGGTGGGGGGACCGAGCCTAACTGCTCCCCTTCCTCGCCTCCCTAGGCTGGGCCAGTCCAGCAAGGCGGGGTCAGTCTGTCCGGCCTCAGGCTCCGGATTAGCAGATGAGCACCCCAGCTGGTTGAGGCTGTTGGGGGATCTGCTGAGGATGCCTCTGTCCAGTCTAGGACTGGACACAACTCCCTCTGGCCCCAAGCAGGTTGGAGGTAGGGTCCTGTGGCTGCCCTGGTCTCCCACCTCGCTGTAAGGCCAGAGGGAGCCTGGATCTCCCACCGCGGGCTGGGCCCTCCCCTCTACAGCGACCCCCACTCCCAGGTACCTGCCGGGCCAAGCCCCGTGCTGCCCTCACCGGGGAAGACAGCACGGAGGCCCGTGGCCCGCGGCGTCCAGGCTGGGCCTGGAGCACACGCTGGCCTCAGCACTGGCTCCAGGCTTTGTCTCTTGGAGCGTGAGTGAGGCCAGCAGGGGTGTTTCTCGGGGCCAGTCTAAACAGCTCTTCCCAGGAGCTGCCACGGGGGCCACACAGCCTGGGGTCTGCACCTAGGGTGCAGGGGTGGCTTGGTGGGAATGTAGGACCACCATGACCACACTGCAGGGAGCCAGGCCCACAGTGAAATACAGTAGAAGCCGGCCACAGGGTGAGTGTGGCCACAGGGTGAGTGGGCCTCCCTGACCTGGGCCTAACACCCACAAGGCCCCTGTGCCGGATGCCGGACATCACTTGTAGGTCATACCCCAGTAACAAGCCGCTGTGGGAATCCCATCCCAGCCTCCTGCCTCGACTGGTACACCTTCCCTGTGCCCTTCAAGGCCGGAATCCGTGCAGCTGGGCTCCTGAGCCGCCCCCCACCCACAGGGGAGCAGCCAATAGGCACCCAAGACAGGCCTGAGCGAAGTCCGGGCTGTTGGGGTGGTGGCCCTGGCCCCAGGGATGGAGCTGAGTGCGGTCTGGCAGGGACCCCACGACTGTCCCCTCTGGGTCCCCCTGAAGGTGAGGTGTACAAGGAGGTGGAACCGGTGGAACATTGCAGCCGGTTGGCTACTATAGCTGTGAAATAGAGGTGCCTTAAAGATAGGTGGACGTTGGTCTAGGGTGCCCCAGGCTGGGGGCTAAGCGCAGCAGGCAGCTGCTCAGCGTATGCGCTGTGTCTGTGTGGACCCAGCTCCGAGGGACTGGCTGTTGGCCAGGGAGTCGGCCTCAGGATGAGCAGGGAGGAGCCGCTGAGTCAGCGGATTGCCTGGGCTCCGCCTGGAGGAGCAATGACCACGGCCGCAGGGCCCCACTGCAGCCCAGGCCGGCTGCCGTCCTGGCCGTCCCGCCCCTCGGCAGTGCACCTGTGCAGTACCCCGCGTCTTCACACGGTCCTGTCACTCTTGGGATGCCGTCTCTGTCCCGTGCTGAGCTGGTGTAAAGCAGAGGCCCACCTTGAACTGCTGCCCCCCATCTCCTGACCAAAGGGGGTGCAGGGAGCCCGTCCACTTGGTCAGCGCCCCTGCTCCACCCCCAGCCTCAAGAGGGGTGTCCCCAGCCCCCTCATGCCAAGCTGAGCTTCTCCACAGGAGACACCTCAGGGCACAGCCCCCAGCATCTGGTGGAGCCCTCCCTCGGGCCAGCTCCTCTCCTGCTGCACACACCTGCCAGGGCGTCCTCCAACTGCTTCCTCATGGCACGGTGGGGGTCAGCGTCTCCTGGGCCGCAGGGAGACAGCAGTACAGGCTTAGGGCCAGGGGACCCCCTTTCCTCACCCCCACACGTGGTGCTGGCAACTCCACGCCTAGAAACGCCCGGAACAAAGGAACACGTGCATGAACATCCCACGGAGGGGCAGGCCGGGTCGACGGGGACCACTCTGACCACTTTGTCCTGAAGACAAAGGCAGGAAGGAGCCAGTGCGTGACAGGGCCTCAGCCACTTCTCACAGATAAGGACTGCTCAGGTCTCCTGTTTTCTTAGATTTATTTTTGTATTGCAAAGTGAGAGAAAAGGAGCAACACACACACAGATTCTTCATCTCCTGGTTTTCTCCCCAAATCAGCACAACAGCTGGAGCTGCGCCGACCCGAAGCCAGGAGCCAGGAACCTCTCTGAGGCTCCCACACGGGTGCAAGGTCCGAAGGCTTTAGGCCGTCCTCGACTGCTTTCCCAGGCCACAAGCAGGGAGCTGGATGGGAAGTGGAGCTGCCGGGATTAGAACCGGCGCCCATATGGGATCCCGGCACATGCAAGGACCTCAGCCACTAGCTACCTTGCTGGGCCCTGTTTTATTATTTTTCTTAAATATTTATTTCTATTGGAAAGTCAGATATACAGAGAGGAGGAGAGACAGAGAAGATGATCTGCCATATAGTGATTCACTACCCAAGTGACTGCAATGGCCGGTGCAGCACCATCTGAAGCCAGGAGCCAGGAACTGCCTCCAGGTCTCCCACACGGGTGCAGGGTCCTCAACTGCTTTCCCAGGCCACAAGCCTGGCCTGGATGGGAAGCTGGATGGGATGTGGAGCTACTGGGACTAGAACTGGCGCCCATATGGGATCCCAGCACATTCAAGGCGAGAACTTCAGCTGACAGGCCACAGCGCTGGGCCCTAAAAAGTTCTCTAATTGCTGGGCGCACTACGATGGTTCAATGGCTAAATCCTTGCCTCGCACGGTCCAGGATCCCATATGGGTGCCGGATTGTGTCCCGGCTGCTCTACTTCCCATCCAGCTCCCTGCCTGTGGCCTTGGGAAAGCAGTCACAATGGCCAAAAGCCTTGAGCCCTGCACTTAATGTGGGAGACCTGGGAGAATCTGCTGGCTGCTGGCTTTGGATTGGCTCAATTTTGGCCATTGCAGCCACTTGAGGAGTGAACCAAAGAATGGACCATTCTGTTCTTCTCTCTATAAACCTGCCTTTCCAATAAGAAGTTAAATCTTATAAAGTTATACAGAGAAAGGGAGAGTCAGAGGTCTTCCATCCCCAAAGGGCTGCGACGGCAGACACTGGGCCGGTCTCAAGCCAGGAGCCAGGGGCTTCTGGGTCTTCCCTGCGGTGCAGGGTCCCACGGCCTGTCCCTACGACAGTGGTCGCGAGCCTGTGTCCGGCGACACCTGTGCCTGCCGCGCACACCTGGAAGGCAGCAGGGTTTGGGTGAGCCGTCTCCCAGCCCAGCCCACCCCCAAGGCCTTTGCAGATGGGGGTCCTTGCTCCCTACACTTTCGACATTCACCTACTGGACATTTTAAAAGGAGAGGACCGGCGGGAGCTCGACAGGAGCGGGTCTGGGGGGGTCCCTGGGCAAGGGTTCTCAGATGCGGCCATGAGAGCAGAGGCTGCCCAGCTCCAGGTGAATTTCCCACGTAATGCTTTAGCATAGAAGCCTCAAGCAACGCTTGGGATGTTGATACTAAATGAGGATGCACATTCGAGGCTTACGTCAAGTGCTGCGTCTCGGGCAGAGGCCGCGGCCTCCGTCCAGCCCCCGGTCCGCTCCTCGCACGCAGCCCCCGCCGGGGTTTTGGTCTCGTCCTCCCCCCCGCGCCGCTCCGTGGTCTCGCCTGAAGTGCTCATCGATAGCTCTACGCTCAGCCTCGCTCCTATCGACTCGCTCCAGCTCGCCTGGCCGTCCTGGAGCGCGGAGGAGCGCGGAGCCGCGGGAGGTGCGCAGGCCGCCGGCGAGGGCTGGGGCGGCTTCTGGGGGGCCGGCCGAGGGCGGCCCGGGGAGCGGGCACCGGGGCGCGGCGGGACGGGCCCGGGGGCGCCGCGCGCGCTCGGCAGGGCCGGGGGTCCCACCGCGGCACTCGCCCTCCCGCCGACACCGGCCGCCGGCCTGTGCGCACGCGCAGGAGCGGCGCGCCCTCCGCCGTGCGCACGCGCAGCCCGCCGCTGCGGCAGGCGACGCCCTGGGCGTGACTGCCCCCTGCCGGCCCGTGGCGGGATGGCGTGGGCGAGGAGCGGGCGGCGGCGCACGCGCCCTGGCGCCCCGAGCTGCAGAGCGCGCCGGTGTGGGCGCGCCGTCCGCGGGGTGCGTGGAAACCATCGTCTGGTCGTCGTCTCCTCCCAGATGCGGTGACTTCGGACACCCTTGTCCAGCGCTCGGGCCCTGTGCAGGCCCCCCGGCGTGCACGCAGCCGCACCAATGAACACCAACCCTGGCACAGTGGGCAGCGACCCTGTCATCTTGGCCACCGCCGGCTATGACCATACCGTGCGGTTCTGGCAGGCCCACAGCGGGATCTGCACCCGCACTGTGCAGCACCAAGACTCCGTATCCCCTGCACCATCCCCCCAGCCAGCCCCGGGGCAGGGAGTGGGGTGAGGGATGGGAGAGGCTGAGGGTGGGAGCATGGCTCAGCTCTGGCCGGCGCTGGAGGCACCAGACCCTCTCCCCGCCCGCGGCCGGTCGCCCTCCTTAACAGGCTCAGCAGGTAAACGCTCTGGAGATCACGCCTGACCGCAGCATGATCGCAGCTGCAGGTACCTGCAACCCTTGACTTCTGACCCTGACTTTTGCCAGTTCTGGCCTGGGGGACGCGGGAAGGCTTCAGTCCCGCCTCGTGCCCCTAGGTTACCAACACATCCGTATGTACGACCTCAACTCCAACAACCCTAACCCCGTCATCAGCTATGACGGGGTGAGCAAGAACATCGCGTCCGTGGGCTTCCACGAGGACGGCCGCTGGATGTACACAGGCGGCGAGGACTGCACAGCCAGGATCTGGGACCTCAGGTGTGGGGCGGGAGGGCGCACCCCAGGCCGTGGCTGCGTCCGTGTGGGCATGCTGTGCCTGGGCGGGTTACCGAGGGAGGTTGAAAAGTCGGAACTGGCAGATCGCATCACTGCCTTGGTCTGCAAGGGCCAGGCACAGAGAGGGAGAGAGCTTCCGTCCCGTGGTTCTTTCCCTACATGGCCACAGCTGGACCCCGGAAACCTTAGGCCCAGAGCTGGGTCTCCCACGTGGCCCCCAGTGGCCAGGCAGTTCCCAGGTGGGAGAGCGGAGCAGCCAGGCCCGGGATGGCATCACAGGCAGCCAGCCACCACCAGCAGGAGGCCTAGGCGGCCAGGCCAGGGGCTGGGCTTGGGGGAGCTGGGGCAGTACCCACCAGGGTCTGTGTGTACACCCCAACCCTGCCCCCAGGTCCCGGAACCTGCAGTGCCAGCGCATCTTCCAGGTTAATGCGCCTATTAACTGTGTCTGCCTGCACCCCAATCAGGTGAGCCGCGCCCCCAGAGCAGGGCACCCCAGGGCTCAGGAAGCCAGGGTGCTGCCCTGCCTCACCTCCCCCACGCCGGCCCTGCAGGCAGAGCTCATCGTAGGCGACCAGAGCGGCGCGATCCACATTTGGGACCTGAAAACTGACCACAACGAGCAGCTGATCCCGGAGCCGGAGGTCTCCATCACGTCCACCCACATCGACCCGGACGCCAGCTACATGGCTGCGGTCAATAGCACCGTGAGTCCTGCGGGCTCAGCCGCTCACCTCCTTTGCACGGGACAGTTCCCACGGCCCCCAACTCCTGACAGCTACTTGGCCACCAGGGCCCAGGGTCTCTTAGTCTGGCTGCTGACCTGTTGGTCACCCTGCCTGGATTACCTCTTCCTGAGGTGTCTTGACCCTGGCCTGCAGGAAGCCATGGGTGGGCCGGCCCTGCTGTCTCCTGCAGCCTCCCCTTCCCTCTTGGACGTCCCCCAATTCCTGCCTGCCATCCTGTGTGCCCTCCCCCGGCCTGTGCAGTTCCCCTTCCGTTCTATGCATTGGCCGGGGACATCCTTGAGGAAGTTGCACATGAGCCTGTGGGCAGGCACAGCCTCCTGCTCTCAGCTGGCCAGGCGTGATCCTTGACTAGGCTTCCTGGGGGCACAGCAGGAGGTGCTCAACCGGGCCCTGGACGCAGGTGAACCCTTTGTCGCTGCAGCCTCAGAGCCTCGGTGACCTGTCCTGGGACTTTGTCTGCAGGGAAACTGCTTCGTCTGGAACCTCACCGGGGGGATCGGGGACGAAGTCACCCAGCTCATTCCCAAGACCAAGATCCCTGCCCACACACGCTACGCCCTGCAGTGTCGCTTCAGCCCAGACTCCACGTGCGTCTCAGCTGCTGGCGTGGGGGCCCGTGGGCGCATGGCCGGGGTGCCTGTGGCAGTGGCTGCTGGGCACCCTGCTCCCCACACTCCTCTCTCCTTCCCCCAGGCTCCTTGCCACCTGCTCGGCTGACCAGACCTGCAAGATCTGGAGGACGTCAAACTTCTCGCTCATGACGGAGCTGAGCATTAAGAGCGGCAACCCTGGGGAGTCGTCCCGTGGCTGGATGTGGGGCTGCGCCTTCTCTGGGGACTCCCAGTACATTGTCACCGGTGAGCCGCCCCCACTGCCGGGCCTCCACCCAGGGTGGCCAGTCTGGACTTGGGCCGTGAGCCCCGTCCTGCTCCGTCTGTCCCTGCAGCTTCTTCGGACAACCTGGCCCGGCTCTGGTGTGTGGAGACTGGCGAGATCAAGAGGGAGTATGGTGGTCACCAGAAAGCAGTCGTCTGCCTGGCCTTCAATGACAGTGTGCTGAGCTAGCCTGCCTCCCTGGGGACAACACCCCGATCGCAGGGAGACCCCCAGGTTCACCTTCGCTTGGCCAGATCGGCAAACCTCCCTGGGCCTGCGGAGGGGAGGCTGTGGCCAGGCCAGGTCCCTCCTAGCCATCCCAGGCTCAGGAGCTGCATAGTCTGGTGTGCAGGACGGCTGGGCCCATGGGAGCTGGAACCACTAAGGGGCTCTGAGGCTGGTGCCCACCCCCAGCCCGTCCTCTCCTCCCCGCGGCTTCTGCTGTGCCCCCACTGCAAGTCCCGGGGCCACAGAGAAGAGCAGCATGGCCAAGTGGAAGGTTTATTCGGCGTGTTCCAGCGGGTGGTGCCGGGGCCCTGGGTCGGGGGCTCAGTCCGGGAGGTAATAAAAGCAGACGGACACACAGATGTGGCTTGGGAAGCAGATGTCAATGCAGAGGTAGATGAGCCGCTGCCTCGGGGGCCCTGGGGGGGAGGGCTTGTGAATCCCTGAGGGGGCACCCCCGGCTCTGGAGACCCCACCACCGCCCCAGACTCCTCGCATGGTGCATCCCAACTCACTGTCAGCTCGACGGGCCCAGTAGATGGGGGTCTTAGCACAGAGGTGCCGCACGGAAGGCCCGACCTGAGCAGGGTCCAGTGCACGGCTCCCAAGCACTGCTAGCAGCTCCTGGGCATGGGGGGCAGTGGGGCTGGGGCAGCAGGGCTCCTGGGCCTGGGGAGAAGGCTTTGGTAGGCTGGGTGGGAGCACTCTCTCTGCCCAGGCCGGCCCTACCTCCAGCCCTTGTTGACAGCCTCGGCCCAGAAAGAGCTTTCAGTTCCCTGAAACCGGAGCTTCACACCCCCACCCCAGGCATGGGGGGGCTCAGTGCACACAGTGCCCTTTGCTCACCCTGGAGCTGTTGAGCAGTAGCTGCAGGGCCTCCTGGTCCTGGGCCTCCATTCGGCGGAGGAAGCAGGCCTGGTGTTCCGAGGGGCGGTAACAGATACAGCCCTGGAGAGGTGGGTGGGTGAGGCCGGGCCTCCCCCACCCATGCAGGCAGCACAGCCCCCTCCCTGCCCACTCACGCTCTGCCCGTCAAATAGCACGGCCCAGCTCCGGTTGCTATGAGGCGGCGTCACCATTATGGTCGCTAAATTTCGGGCCTCATCGACCAGGGTGGTTTGGTTGGCCCTGGGCAGCCGGTGGCTCGGGAGGGTCAGCCGGAGAACTTGCTGCTGTGTCTGTTGGAAGCCGGAGTTGACCAGCTGGCTTGAGCCCAGGCAGCTCCTACATCCCCTGGCCCTGGGCTGCAGGGTGCCTGGAGTCACCCTAGGGGGTCCTTCCAGCCAGCCCATCTTACAGCCACTCTGGGCCTGACCTCCCCGTCACGCCACCCCGGCCCCGGTTCCGGTTCCCAAGAAGGCTTACCTCAGGGGTCCGAGCAAAGCCCAGCAGCCCCCCAGCCACAGCGCCGACTGTGGCCAGAGCTAGCAGCAGCAGCAGGAGGCCAGCAGCTCTCCAGCCCAGGTGGGGCTTGGTCTTCACCCGAGGGCACATTGGGGTTAGAGACCAGCAGATAGGCTTGCTTAGGGGGCAGTGGGTACTGGGCATCCCCACAGTCCTTGCCCCAGGAGTGGCAGGAGACGCTCCAGCAGGCCTGCCTCCCTGCTGACAATGCACCGATTGTCTGCAGCCCCTTGGAGGAGTCGCCAAGCGAGGGTACCCCTCCCCTCATGATTCCACTGCTTCCTCCCTACTCCGTATCTCATGTCCAGGGCAGAGCCAAGATGGCCTGCGCTGCCCTGCCGGGGTGTGCCAGTCAGCAGGCACCTGGCCAGGGCAGAGGAGCGCGAGTGGGAGGGCTGGCTGCACCTCCACTGCAGCAAGGCAGGACCAGCTGATGGACAGGCTGCAGCTCCGGCTGGCCAGAGTGTTCTGCTTCCCTCTGGACCCCAAGAGCCAGGATCCAGGCTGACCTGAGGTGCAGTGGGTAGAAATGCCTGTGACATTTCAGTGTCCTGTAAGGACACTGGCTCTTGTCTCGGCTGCTCCACTTGTAATTGCCGGAGTCCAGCTCCAGCTGAGTTCGGAAGGATGCGAGGAGGCATAGAGGCAAGACGGACCACTAGGATTCCATGATCATAATGGACAATGTGGGAAAGCTGTCCGAACCAGTCAAACTCTGGTCAAGGGGGTGTTTCTAAGGATAATTCTGGCATTTGTTTTACCTAAAAACAATAGAAGTTCCTGCTACAATTCTTATTCTACAATCTAATCTTGTACCACAAAGAAAAGAATCTAAAGAATGAAACCCTAAATACAGATCCCTTGATTAGCATAAGGTCAATGCGGACAGCCAAAACAGTAGGAATAATAGAAGGCCCTTTTGCAAGGCATTATTATTTACATTAACCTCCAAGCTGTCACTGAGGAAAAGGTCAGCCTCACAGCAGCAAACAATGCCTGGATGGGTTAGAATTCCCCGGCAGGGTGGGCCGCGTCCCTGCAAGGGAAGGTGGAGCTGCATTCAGGTGGCTGCACAGGTTCTGGCCCTGCCATGCAGTGCCTGCAATGGAACAATACCCTTCACACCTTCGCGTCCCCCACATCCACTGCAGACCCCAACATCTAATCCAGCGAATGGCCTGGGAAAGGCAACAGCAAACGGTGCCTAGACCCTTCACCCACACAGGTAGCCTGGAGAAGCTCCTGACCCTGGAGAGTGAACTGTTAAAGTGGAAATCTGTGAGCAGTTTGGGACTGTGCGTTGCCCCGGCTCTTAACAGTGTGGGGTGATAAGTGTGCACAGGCCACGCGGGGCCTGGACGGTTAGATGCCGTTCCTGCCAGCTTGCTTGACCCTGCTGCTCACTGTGCTGGCCAGCGTGTCTGCTAGCTTCACCCCATGGCCTCAGGTGGCTTCGGGTTTCATCTTGCTTTCCCAGGCTCACGGCAGCCAGCATTCCAGTTCCGGAGCTGGAACCCTGCCGTGCCTTCCACTTTTAGCGCCCATCCCCCCTTGGCCTCCGTGATGGGAGGATGAAAAGACAAGGACACGGAGGCAATAGAGATGGCAGGTTTAATGTGCATCCAGGCTCACAGTGCAGGCCCCTGCAGGCCGGGGAGGGAATATGGGGTTCCCAGCCACCCCCCACCAGTGGCTGCCACGTGCTCCTGGTGTGGGTGTCAGCACCCTGGGCCTGCTCAGCGTCGATGTACCTTGAGCCGACCTTGCAGGCACTGCCACCCGCACGGTGCCCCACATCACAGTACAGGCCGGGAGGTATGCAGGCTGGCACTCCCTTTATTGCTTCCCTCAGATGTGGTGGATAAGCAGAGGGTTGCTACTGGCACAGGGCTGGGCAGGAGTCAACCCAAGGGAACGGCTTCCCAGGCTCTCTTCGAGAAGTAGCTGCAGTCCTGCTAAAGGTCAGCCGACTTGGGCATCAGCACCTTGGCTGGACAGGGACTCCTGCCCATCCCCGCAGCAGCCACTGACCAGGACCCACAGACGGCCTTGGGGACTGCTGGACTAAGCGCCCCAACCAGGGACCAGGGACTGCACGAGGTTGCACTTGCTGTCCCTGGGGCTCCCGTGCCCTCCCTCCCAGAGGCTGCTCTGGCCAGCACACGCCTTCAGCCCTGCGGCCCGTCAGTGGGATTTCCCCACAGGACAGAGCACAGCTCTTCCTCTGCAGGGTTCAGACTTTCTTCCACCACAGGACAAAGCCACCCAAAGAGCCCATGCTCAGCAGAGGACCGGCCTCCCTTCTGGGGGCCATGTGGCTGCTGGGAAAGGCCAGCGCTCCAAGGGACAGGGAACACACAGCAGGTGGGGCAGCCCTGCAGGGACACAGTGACCACGCCGGCTGCCCCCTTCTGGTCCACCGCGGGCCACCGGCCGGATGGTCCTCAGCCCCAGCCCCTCCTGCAGGAGTTCGGGGCCCTGAATGAAGGTTTCTGTAAGAGACACGACCTCCCTCTAAACTTGCCGGCCTCAATGCCCTGGTCAGGCCCCGGGGTCACCAGAATCCTGAACTCAATGAGCCAGTCCAGGACCCGGCCCAAGGTGCCCACCGCGCCTGGAGCTGCTTGCTGCGGACACGTGGCAGGCCACACGCTCACCTGCGGGGCCAAGCCCCCAGCTAGGAATTGGGGGAACTGGTTTTCAACTCTTTTATTCTGTGAGTGAAAAAGCCCCGACCTTTAACCCCGGAGGGCGGGCAGGAGGTCGGCGATGCTGTCCACGTAGAAGTCCGGGACCATCTTCTTCTTGGACACGCAGTCACTTTCCCGATTGCGCCGCACGTCCCCGAGTGTGGACACGCCCGTGAGGGTGAGGATGGTCTTGAGGCCGCAGGTGGCGCCCAGCAGGATGTCGGTGTCCAGGCGGTCACCCACCATGACGGTGCGCGCGGGGTCGATGCCGTACTCCTGGGACACGCAGTCGAAGATGAAGCGGCTGGGCTTGCCTATGATGTCAGCCTGGCGCTGGGCCGCCATCTCCACGGCTTGGACGAGGCAGCCGGTACCTGTGCGGCGGACAGGGAAGGGAGGGAGGGGGGACGGACACGAGCGCGCCCGCGGTCAGAGCCGGGGTCGGGGTGGGGGTCGCCGCCCGCCCCCGGCCTCCCGTCCCCGGCGCGCACGGACCGGCGATGAAGAGGCCGTTCTCCAGGGGCAGCCGGTTGTCCATGTTGGTGCCCACGAGCAGGCAGCCGGGCTGCTGCAGGTAGCGCAGGGCGGTGGTGAGCTTCATGTAGCTGAAGTGCGGGTCGAAGCCCACCACCACGGCGCCCACGCCGGGCTCCAGCGGCGCCGACAGCCAGTCGCCGGGGCCGTCTCCCCGCAGCGGCTCGGGCCCCACGCCCACGCTGGCGACGCCCACGGCCTCGAGCTCGGCGGCCAGGGCCGGGCTGCCCAGCACGTAGGCTTTCGGGGCCGGCGTGCCCGCCAGGCGCTGGCGCAGGTAGAGCGCGGTGCAGTAGGCCGTGCCGAAGACCTCGGGGCCGGCGTCGGGCTCCGCGGGGCCGCCGAAGCCCAGGCGCCGCAGCTTCTCGGCGTAGGCCTGGCGGGTCTTGCTGCTGTTGTTGGTGATGAAGCCCAGGCGCTTGCCCTGGGCCCGCAGCGCCTGCAGGGCCTCGGGCGCGCCGGGCACGGCCGTCTCGCCGCGCCACAGGACGCCGTCGCAGTCGAACAGCAGCGTGTCCACGTCGGCCAGCAGCGCCCGGGCCCGCTCGGCGCTCAGCCGCACGCAGCGGCCGTCGGCATCGCCGGCCTCCGCCGCTTCCGCCATGCTCGCCTGTCCGCAGCCACCGGCCTCAGCCGCCCGCGCCGTCACCGGCCGCTCCTTACAGCCGCCCGCCGCGGCGCCCGCCCCGCCCCCGGCGCGCTCATTGGCCCGCCGCCTCGCGGGCGCCGCTCATTGGCTCCTGCCTGCGCCAATCCGCCCGGGCCTCCCGCGGGAGCCCACAGGACCGTCCGCCAATCGCCTCGGCCAGGAGGGGGCAAGCTGGCGGCCATTGGCGGCGGGCTCGGGTCTCCACCGGTGATTGGCTGGCGGGACGCCCACCGGCACTGGCAGCCGAGCGCCGGCTGAGGACGCGCCGCCGGCCTGCTCAGGGCGGCGGGAGACTGCTGATTGGCGGCCGCGGGACGGCGCGGCCATTGGAGGCGTGGTCAGCCGGCCGCGGATTGGCTGCGGCTCGGTGGGCGGGCCCGGGTCACGTCCGCAGCGCTGCGGCGGGTGTCCCCCCACGCGGCACACGTCGTCGGCACGTCCCGGCTGCTCCCCGGAGCCGACCCTCCCGTCGCCCGCGCCCCGGCCTTGGCTCGTCAGAAGCAGGAGTCACGGGGTCGGAGGAGCCGACCTGCGGCGCGCCAGCCGTCACTCTGGTCACCTTTGTCGGTCACAGGGACTGGCGCGGGCAGAGGCGTCCTACAGAGTGCACCGAGTGGGGCGCCCACAGGAGCACAACCCACCCGGAACGACAGTCCCTAGGCACCACCGCTGTAGGATTTCCACCCTGGGGCCATGTCCTTCCTCGGTGGATCGTACCGTGTGGTGTGGTCCAGCCCAGAACTGCACGCTGGTGTCCCCCGCGCCAGTTCCCAATCCAGCTCCCTGCCAGTGCACCCCGGAAGGCCCCAGAAGACCACCCAAGGCCTCTGGGCAAGACCGCGGACCACTGAAGCCACACTCCAGGGGTGTCCTGTGGGGAGGTGCAGGTCGGAAGCGCAGCAGCTGGGAGCTGAGCTTGCATCCCCATATGGGATGCTGTGGCCACGAGTGCCAGCTTACCCTGCCACTCAGGTTGGAGTTTAACCCCCTAATCCGACTATGGTGTTTACGGGCCGGGCTTTAGGGAGCTGATTAGTGTTACATAAAGTCCGTAGGGAGGCTTGTGCGGGACTAGAGGGACCAGAGCACACACGCACGGACTCCCTGCCTCAGCTGCGGGTGCCCTGTCTGACCTCAGGAAGGCTGTCACCAGATGCGCCCGTTGTACCCAGATAATCATCCAGTCTGAAGTCTGTGCTAAGGCATAAAGGTGGTTTATTCAGCTTCGCCTAGGTCTCCCAGCCACCTCCCCCAGCAGGGCTGGGCGGGGGAGGGACAGCCACAGCCCAGGCTGCTGCAGGATCAGCAGGGAGGGATATAGAGAAGGGGAGCACAGCCAGAGAGCCCCCAGTTCAACAGCCTAGCGTTCTTGTACATTTCAGGCTCTTAATTATACAGTCATGACATAGCAGGCTTCTATTGGTGGGTTTGAAGCAAGCAACTTTCAAAAAGTACAACCTGATGAGCTATAGGGCGGTGGATCTTATCAAATACCAGGTACCTCTTTCCTGGGGAGTGGTCTGCCTACGTGACCTGCCAGGTGTCCTGCTGGGTGTCACGTAGACTATCAGGCCTGGAATTCACACAGCCCCCAGCCAAGCTATTAAGGCAGAATCACAAAAACAGAAAACGCCTAGGTTCTTCACCCCTTGACCCTGGGCCAGGACTATAAACCCAGATAAATCTCTTTTAATAAGCTGTTCCGTATTATCTGCCCAAGGCAGTGACCTCTGCCTGCCACAGCGGCATCCCACACGGGCAGTGACACCTGTGCCGGCTGCTCCACTTCCCATCCGGCTCCCTGCTTAGGGCTTGAGAAAGCAGTGCAGGATGGCTCTGGTGCCTAGCCCCTGCACCCACACGGGAGACCTGGAGAAGCTCCTGGCTTCAGTCCTGGCCGCTGTGGCCCTCTGGGGAGTGGATGAGTGGAAAGACCCTTTTCTGTAGCTCTGACTTTCAAGTACATCTTAAACTGACACATCCTAGCTTCTGGCAGGTTCCGCTGTCTCCCTTCCCAGGGTGGAGCCAGCCTTCCTGGCCCTGGCGCCTCATCTGTGGGCAAGCAGCTGGCTGGGAGAGGAGAGCGGGTGCGTCCCCATAGCTGGTCTCCAGGACAGTCCCCTGGCAAGTGGCCCATCAGCCTCCCTTATTTCATCTTTAAAATGGGAATGATGGGTATTGCAAGCTAGTCCCATCAAGGGCTTTATTCCAAACAACTAATTAAATGTGAGCTTAAAAAAAAAAAAAAAAGGAGGGCCTAGCAGCTAAAGTCCTCGGCTTGCACACGCTGGGGTCCCATATGGACGCTGGTTCATGCTTTCGATCGGCTCAGCTCCAGGCGTTGTGGTCATCTGGGGAGTAAATCATGGCACAGAAGATCTTTCCGTCTTTCCTCCTCTCTGTAGATCTGACTTTCCAATTAAAAAAAAAATGGTAAAAGAAAGAAAGAGCGAGCACAGCAATGTCAGGGCTGCCAGGTTCACAGCGTCTGGAAACCAACAAGATGTGGGACTCATCCACACGGTGGGACGTGCCTCCGACCCACAGACGAACCGGGCCAGCCTGCGGGACCAAAGGCAGAGCCGGCAAAGCCACACAGCGCAGGTGCGTGGCTGCAGGGGCGCTGAATGAGTGTACTAGAAGGGCGAACTCTGCGGGGATCTAACGCAGTCTAAACATATGCAAAAGGATGAAGTATTCCTCCAAGGCCGCCCGCACTTGGCCCGGGGTGATCACGCAGGGACGGCAGCGTAGCGAGCGCCGCAGCTCCGTGTCGGCCCTTTGAGCTCAGAGAGGAATCACGCAGGACCAGCAAGCTACTTCGCTCCGGCTCCAAGCGGTTGACAGCCCCGGCGGGTGCAAAGCCAGCCCCGGGTTCTTCCGATCTGGACACGCCCCGAAGCGCCAGCTCACGCCCACGGGGCGGTCCTTCTGCTGGACACGCCCCCGCCCACCCATACGCCGCGGTTCCGTTCCATCACGGCTCTCTACCAACGAGACTCCACCTCTGCGAGGCCGGCAGCCACACCCACATGTGGCCCCACCCCCTGCCTGTCCGTCAACCGCACCCCGCCCGCCTCCCGTTCCTGCACGCCGACCTCGGAGCGGCCCGTTGTTATGACGACACGGTCGTAAATCCGCCATCTTCCTGCGGCGCGTTGCGACATGGAGGGCGCGATGGCAGTGCGGGTGACGGCCGCTCATACGGCAGCAGCCCGGGCCGAAGCCGGGAGGGAAGTGGGTGAGGGCGGGGTCGCGGCGGCGGAGGCCTTGGCCCCCGGCGGCTTCCTGGGCCTCCCGGCGCCCTTCAGTGAGGAAGGTAACGGCGCCGGACGGGGCAGGGTGCGGCCGGGGTGGGGGCCGCGCAGCCTGGGCCGGCGGAGGCCTGGGTGGCCGGAGCTGAGCTGTGGACGCGGCGGACGCTCGCGGAGCCCCGGGCCCCGCACGGCCTCCGATCGCCGCGCGCTCGCAGGCGCGCCCGGGCGGACGCCGCAGCCCCGGGCCTGGGCCCCGCTGCACCTGACAGCCCACTCGGGGCCGGGGGCGGAGCCGGGCCTGTCACTTCCCGGCGCGGATGGGGCAGGTGACCCCAGCCGCCTGAGCCCCGGAGGAGCGGCTGCCGCAGCCCCTGAGCTGGGAGCACTTGGTCCTCGCCTCCCGCACGCCCCGATCTAGCCCCTGTCACTCCGGGGGGCTCAGATGGCAGGTGCATTGCAGCTCGGTACAGGGACACTCCGAGGGCCCATTTAGGGGTACTCACGGCTGTAGGGGACACAACTTTGGGCTGTACTGTCCGAGGTTTTCCTGGAAGACTGCCTTGGCTAGGACGGGAAGGGGCGGCTGGCAGTGACCAGTGGAAGGGATCTTTCCATTCCCCTGTCCCTACGGGTTCTGAGTGGTACAGGGTTGTCTCTTGATTCCTGGCAGCGGGGAGAGGGGCAGTACCCCAAGGGGCGGTGCCTGCCTCAGGGTGTGTCCCTGTGCTAGGCCTTAGGCAGGGGGTCTGCTTCAGTGGCAACACCTTGGAGCCAACTCCCTGAGTGGCCTGCCAGAGCCCCAGGCGCTCAGCTCCCGACTGGCCATCCTGAGCAGGCTGCAGGTGGGTGGTGGCAGCAGTCTGGCCCTTTGAGGGCGTGTTAATCCAGCAAACATGCCAGGCAGCAGACCCAGGTCTGACTTGGCCTGAGGGCTGGTACATTTGAGGCAGCGCAAGGGCCAGCCCCCACTTTGCACAGACAGTGGGTGTCAGGACTGGGCTCAGATTCCTCCTCTCGTGGTCTCGTGGCTGACCCCCTTGTCCAGCATGGGCTTCCCTAGGGTGCTGGCGGGAGCTGAGGGACAGCAGGGCCAGGACCGGGGGCAGGGCGTGATGGGAAGGCCCTCTTGGCATTGACACACGAGCTGGGTCCTGTTGTCCAGCATGCGCCCCGGGCCAGCACCCATGACAGGAGGCAGTGACTCCACTGGTCCCCAGGGGCACATTTAGGCCTCCTAGTCCTCTGTTGTCCCCAAACCAATGTGGGCACACCTCCGGCTCCTGCCCTTCTGGCTACCTTTTCCCTATTGGCTAAAATCAAGCTTTGGGTTAGACGGCCATAGCAGACCTTGGCACCTGAAGTGTGTGTGACAGGTCTTCCCCCATGCCCTCCTGGTGGGTGCTGGGCTCCCCAGGGTGCACCTGCAGGGCGGGGGGAGGGAGAGCTCCGTTTCCCCTGGCATCCTCAGGTGAGTTGGGTCTTGGGCTGGAGGGAAGCTGGACAGGTCCTGCTGATGCCATCTCATTGCAGATGAAGATGACGTGCACAGATGTGGTCGCTGTCAGGCCGAGTTCACGGCCTTGGAGGACTTTGTCCAGCACAAGATCCAGAAGGTCTGCCAGCGGGCACCCCAGGAGGCCTTGCCTGCTGGTCCTGCTGCTGCAGCCCTGCTGGGCCAAGAGGTAAACCTCTTCCCCGGACCAGGAGCTGCGGGCCAGGACAGGCCTCTGGCCATGGTGAGGGGAGTCTGGTGGGGTGGCCTGATCTTCTCAGCAGCCTCTGGCTGAAGCCTGCACAGTTGGGGGCCTCTCCTTTCTTGGGGTCTCAGGGCCCTTCCCCTTTGGCTCGAGGGCATTCTGGTAGCACTTGTCTCCTAAGTGATCTTCTGGGTTCCAAAGTGTGGCCCTGTGGGTCCTGTTGCCTTGTCAATGGAGTGGCCCATTTGGCTGGGCTCATAATGTGCTTGTGGCTGTCCACACTGCCTGAGACTGGGCAGGCAGCAAGGGGACCTGGGAAGGCACTGGCCTCAGGCCACCAGCAGAGGGCCCTGTCAACACGCACCTGACCTCGGGCTCTTGACCTGGGCCTCCCGCAGCAAGGCCTCGACCCCTCATTGTGCGGCCCTTTTCTGAGTGCTGTCCAGGCCTTTGTTCTCGTAAGCAGTGGACCTCAGGCCAGAGCTGCTGTGCCCATGCTCATGGCTCTGTCTCCTGCCCTGGCGGCCAGGGGAGTTGCAGTGGAGTGTCTGGGCAGGCAACTTCAGCGGTCCTGCAGGCACAGCCCTGAGCCTGTACTCCCTTGAGGGCCAGCCTCTCCCCTGGGTGCTCTGGAGCCCATGGCTTGTCCTCTCCACCTCCCTAGGTGGTGCCGGCAGCGGCAGGCCCTGAAGAGCCCGTCACCGTGGCCCACATCGTGGTAGAGGCGGCAGACATCAGACATGCACCCGATCTCGTGGGTAAGCCAATGGCATCAGGCCTGGGGCTGTTTTACTTCCTGCCAGGATCTTTGTGGTTCCTTCTGGCAGCAGCCACCTGGGCCAGCCTCAGCAGCTGGCTGTGGGGTGGCAAGCACCTGAGGCAGACAGGTGCTTGGCACTGCAGCTGCTGGCACGACTGGCTGTCCAATGTGCCCATCACCTCCCTGGGCACCGCTCCCTCTGGTGTGGGAGGGATGCTTGCTGGCTGATCGTCTTTATGAGCGTGCACTGTCACTGGGCCTTTTTGAAGCCCGCTCTCAGTAGCAGGGCCGATGTGACGTGCACTAGGTTGGGTCAAGCTCTCGTTAACTGGGACGGATAAACACACACGGGCAGGGGGTGTGGAAAGGGCAGCCTGGGGTGTGGGCAGGGGAGGACCGGTGGAACGGGACTTAGGTGTGTAGCCGTCACACTGGGAAGGCTGGCCGGGGCTTTATGTGGCAAGAAGTTGGGAAGGGAATGTCGTCCTGGGGGTGGCTGCTGGGAAGGAGCCAAGGCAGGTGGGTGTTTGGGCAGCTGGACAGGAAGTAGGTTTGGGCAACAGGGAGGACTGGGCCTTGGGAAAGCCTGGGGAGTGATTCCCGGAAGAGGCGGTTGAGGCCAACCTGGGGCCTGGGAAGGGAGCTGTGCACTGGCTCTGGGCCCTTTCCCTGTGTCCCTGGGATAGACGCCCCGTTACCACCCAGGGACAGGAATAATTCCTGTGGAGGTGGGGCTGTGCCCAACCCTGGTGGGATTGAGTCCTCTGGGTGCTGGCAGGATCTGTATGTGCTAGGGCAGCAGACTGCTGGCCCTGTGGGTCGCCCTTCCCTGTAGGGGTGCCCAGCCCCTCCCTGGGCCTTAGGGTTCCTCTTGGGCACCCTGTCTTTTGCCTTGTGATCTTGCTTTGGCGATACCTTGAGTGCCCTGAGTCTGTACCTGGGCCATCTGGCTGGTTCGACAGGCTCTGGCCACTGCTCCTGCTGGCCTGGTGCTCACCCGGGGCGGCGGGAGGTGGGCCGAGCTTGTGCCTGCCTTGGGGCAGGCCTGAGCCGCCAGCAGGCCTGCCCGCCTCGACTCTGTAGACAAGCCTGTGTATCCTGTCTGGGCCGTGTCCCCTTGTCTCTGCGCCTCCTAAGGAGCCTCATCCTCAGAGGTCCGCGTCCTCTGGGAAGGCGACTCTGGCGTGGGCACTGGCTGGGCACGCGTGAGCTGCTGAGTCACAGCTGCCTTCCTGCCGCGTGAGGAGTACAGCTGTCAACACGGTGCCAGCTCAGCGCCACAGCTGCTTCCTTCTTGTCATTGTTAAGGGCACAAAGTGTGACTGGGCCTGCCTGCTCCCTTGGCACATGGGTTGGGGTGCCTGCTCAGGCTGGGTCCCCTGCAGCTCCCCTGCGCACAGGGTCGGGGTGTGTGTGTTTTCCTTCCTTCCTGTGGGCTGTGGAGAGGCTGTACCCCCTTCCCCCAGCCCTTGCCCCATGGCTGCTGAGTGCCAGGGGAGGGCATCCAGGCAGCCCCAGCTCCCTGGGCTCCCTGGCACATCCTGACCTGATGGGGCCTCTTCCCAGGTGGTGAGCACATCAAAGAGGTCATTGTGGCTGCGGCTGAGCCGGGGGACACCGAGGTGGCAGAGGCCCCCGGCAGTCTGAGCCGTCAGGGGCTTGGGCTCACTGGAGAGGGCGAGCAGGCCCCGGTGAGGCTGCTGGTGGACAAGGATGGCCGCTACGTGTGTATGCTCTGCCACAAGACCTTCAAGACGGTGAGCCCTGGGCTGTGGGCTGGCTGGGCCTGTTCCCTCCTGGGCAGGTGCCCTGAGCCTCGCTGCTCCTCCCCCGCAGGGCAGCATCCTCAAGGCCCACATGGTCACCCACAGCAGCCGCAAGGACCATGAGTGCAAGCTCTGCGGGGCTTCCTTCCGGACCAAGGGCTCGCTCATCCGGCACCACCGCCGGCACACGGGTGAGGGGCTCTGGCTGGGCTCTGGCCACCCAAGGAGGCAGAGGTGTCTGTCTGGCTTCCGCTCAGGCTGTCTCCACTCTCTCCACAGATGAGCGTCCCTATAAGTGTGCTAAGTGTGGGAAGAGCTTCCGGGAGTCGGGGGCGCTGACCCGGCACCTCAAGTCCCTCACCCCATGCACAGAGAAGATCCGCTTCAGCATGGGCAAGGACACAGCGGTCAGCAGTGAGGACACGCATGCGGGTCAGCACAGGGGCCCCAGGGGCTTGGTGCGTGCACTGGAGCAGTGGTCTTGCACCGCTCACGGGGTTATGCTTTGCAGGGTCCAGTGTGGGCACAGGTGCGTCCTCAGCAGGGACAGAAGAGCCCATGGAGACGTCACCTGTGATTCATCTGGTGACGGACGCCAAGGGCACTGTCATCCATGAAGTCCACGTACAGATGCAGGAACTGCCCCTGGGCATGAAGGCCTTGGCCCCAGAGGTGGGGCATTCTGGCAAGCCCCCGCAGGGCCAGGCCAGGCCAGGTCTTGCTTTGGGCAGGGGGCCTGGTAGGAACAGTACAGACCTGGCCATCAGTGTGGTTGTGGTGGTTGTGGTGGTGAAAAAATCCTTCCAGCCAGTGAGCAAGGAAGGGGAGGGAGCAGGTGGGGCAGGCAGGGCCTGGCACGGGTTCACCCTGTGGGCGGGGGATGGGCAGCATGTCAGCCTGTGCCCATCTCCCCTGTAGCCTTCGGCCCCTGAGGAACTTCCCTGTTCGGGCGAGGGCAGCCGCGAGAACCTCCTGCACCAGGCCATGCAGAATTCAGGCATTGTTCTCGAGCGGGGTGCTGGGGAGGAAGGGCCCCTTGACCCGGCCCCTGCTGCCCGGTCCAGTCCCCAGCCCTTAGGAGACGGCCCCCCGGGACTGCCGCTGCTGCAAGTGGAGCAGGTACAGACAGTAGGTGCTGGGCTGCTTGTGTCCTCGTGGGGGGAGGGCGGGCTGGGTCACAGTCACTGCATCCACGGGTCTGCATGCTTGCTGTGATGGGGCCCAGGATCCCGTGGCCTGCATTGGGTCCTGCAGGCCTGCCCGTGCTGTCCCAGCAGGTGGCCGGTGAGGCCTCAGCTGCGCCCAAGACACACCCATGCCCTCAGTGCAGTGAAACCTTCCCGACAGCAGCCACTCTGGAGGCTCACAAGAGGGGCCATGCAGGTGGGTGGTTAGGCTCATGGGTGGCGGGGGAACACGGGGGGCCTGGAGTGAGATATGCGACCTGATGTCCCTGTGGCCCCAGGGCCGAGGCCATTCCCCTGCATGCAGTGCGGCAAGGCCTTCCCCAAGGCGTACCTGCTCAAGAAGCACCAGGAGGTACATGTGCATGAGCGCCGCTTCCGCTGCGGGGACTGCGGGAAGCTCTACAAGACCATCGCCCACGTGCGGGGCCACCGGCGCGTGCACTCGGATGAGCGGCCCTACCCTTGTCCTGAGTGTGGCAAGCGCTATAAGACCAAGGTGGGCCCCTGGTCCCAGGGCCGTGGTGCTGGACCCCCGTGCTCAGGCTCCCAGCCTCCTTGGGCTCCTCTTGTCCCTGGCAGGTTATCCCAGCCCCTCACTGAGCCTGGGGTGGGTGGGCACAGCTGCAGTCTGTCCTGGATGCAGCCAGCAGCCACTGACTGGGTCTCCACAGAATGCCCAGCAGGTACACTTCCGGACACACCTGGAGGACAAGCCACACGTGTGCCAGTTCTGTAGCCGAGGCTTCCGGGAAAAGGGCTCTCTGGTGAGGCATGTCCGGCACCACACGGGCGAGAAGCCCTTCAAGTGCTACAAGTGTGGCCGCGGCTTTGCCGAGCATGGCACGCTCAACCGACACCTGCGCACCAAAGGTCCGGGTGCCGTGCAGTGGTGGGAAGGGCAAGGAGTAGGGCCAGGCGCTTCCAAGCCCTGACCGAGCTGCCTACACAGGGGGCTGCCTGCTGGAAGTGGAGGAGCTGCTGGTGTCCCAGGAGAGTCCCGCCGCGGCCACTGTCCTGGCTGAGGACCCCCACACTGTGCTGGTGGAGTTCTCCTCTGTGGTGGCCGACACCCAGGAGTACATCATTGAAGTAGGTGTGGGGCCAGGGGGTTGGGCCGGGGTCTGGGGCAGCCAAAGTTGAACTCTGACCCTGCACAGGCCACAGGAGATGACGCAGAGACCAGCGAGGCTGCCGAGATCATTGAGGGCGCCCAGACGGAGGTGAGGGGCCGGGCGAGGGGCGAGGGGTGGTGAGCTCCCTGGGCAGCCCCTTGCTGAGCTGCTGCCCGCAGGTGGACAGCCACATCATGAAGGTCGTGCAGCAGATCGTGCACCAGGCCAGTGCTGGGCACCAGATCATTGTGCAGAACGTGAGCGTGGACCAGGAGGCAGGGCTGGGCCCGGACGCGGCTGCCACCGACACCATCACCATCGCCACTCCCGAGAGCCTGACGGAGCAGGTGGCCATGACACTGGCTTCGGCCATCAGCGAGGGCACTGTGCTTGCGGCCCGCACGGGTGCCACTGGCTCCGAACAGGCCACCGTGACCATGGTGTCCTCAGAAGACATCGAGATCCTGGAGCATGGTGGCGAGTTGGTTATTGCCTCGCCAGAGGGCCAGCTGGAGGTGCAGACGGTCATTGTCTAGTGTGGGGACCCGGTGGGGGAACGGGCTGAGCCCTCCCACACCTACTAGACCTGGGGAAGAGAAAACAGCCTGAATTCAGGCACCCAGAGGCAGCGGAGGAGTGTAAATAGTTGGTTTTTTTTTTTTTTTTTTTCCTTTACAATAAAATATGGAAGCCTGTGGCTTGTGATGTTACTCAGTGGGTGCCTCAGGGGCTGGCGCCACTGCTCCCATAGATCCCGGGAGTGCCTGCCTGCCTGGGCCACCCTGCTTAGGGGCTCCTGCCAGCCCAGGCGGCGCCTCGGCGGCGTGTGGGTGTTGCTGGCACGCTGACAGGCAACCTCTGGCTGCCCTGCCCTGCCACAGCTGTGACCCCAGCCTTCCAGGCCTGCTGGAGTGGGTGGAAGGGGGAGCTTCGTCCCAGCCTCTAACCCTGGGGCTGCCACAGGTGGGGGCTGTGGTGAGGAGATGGCAGTCTCGGCCAGGCCAGGAAGGTGTCTGGTCCTTGCTGACCTGGTTTTCTGGCAGGTAGATGGTGGGCAGGGCTGCCAGACTGTCTTTGGAAAGCCAGTAGGGTTCTTTCATTAGGTTCCAAGATAGGGCATTCAAACTGGCCCAGGATGGACCTGCCTCTTACCCTTGGGGGTTCTCCATGGGAATGGGGGACAGGAGTTAGCACCATCTGCGTGTAGGAGGCGGGTCAAGGCCAGCCTGGCTCCGCCCTGTGCCAGGGCCAAGGCCTCAAATACCAGCCGGGCTCTGATGTCAGAACTGTTCGCCCCAGTCGGGTCAGTGTAGTCCTGGCTGTGTCACCACAACAGATTCCCAGCCCCGAAGGCTGAGACCCTAGTGGGACCAGAAGCCCCGAGGCTTGGCACCACCTCATCAGCAAGCCAGGTGAGTTGGGTAGGGTCAGGCCAGGAGACCTTCTGTTAGCAGTTGGGCAAGGTCAGGGGACTGAGAGCTGGGCCACGCTCCCAGGAGAGTGCAGGGGAGAATCCACAATCCAGACAGGGTGGGCGCCTGGGCTTGCTGGCGGCTCTGACCCCAGGTGCCAGCTCCCTGGCTGCCTCCCTCCTACTCCTGGTCCACTTGTCTGGGTTATGGGCAGGGCCATGACCCTGCTGGCCCTGCTCTGGGCACTGGGGTCTGTCCAAGCTGCGGCTCTGCGCATCGGGGCCTTCAACATCCAGAGTTTCGGGGACAGCAAAGTGTCTGACCCGGCCTGCGGCAGCGTCATTGCACAGGTGAGCCAGGGCGGGGTTTCGGGATGCAGCTGGGCTCCCAGGGCGGGTACCATGACTGGTTGCGCTTAACCCCACACCTGCCACCTCCTGCAGATCCTGGCTGGGTACGATGTGGTGCTGGTGCAGGAGGTGCGAGACCCGGACTTGAGCGCCGTGTCCGTGCTCATGGAGCAGATTAACAGGTGTGGCGGGCAGGGCCCCGTGGGGGGCCCCACCCCAGTTCCCAGGCATCTCCTGGGGCCTTGACAGGGCCTACCCTGTTTCCACAGTGTGTCCAAGCATGAGTATGACTTCGTGAGCAGCAAGCCCCTGGGTCGGGACCAGTACAGGGAGATGTACCTGTTTGTCTACAGGTGAGGGGTGGGTCCCAGCGAGGGGGCGTGGCCTGGCTCAGCGCCAGCCCGCCCACCCTTCTCTACTCCCAGGAAAGACGCGGTGTCTGTAGTGGACACATACCAGTACCCAGACCCAGAGGATGCCTTCAGCCGGGAACCCTTCGTGGTCAAGTTCTCTACACCCCACTCTGGTGAGGCCTCCCGCCTTCTGACTTGGGGCAAGCAGCTGACGCCCCGGGCCCTACCCCAGCCCCCGCTGACAGCCCCACTCCCCACAGCTGCCCGGGAGTTGGTACTGATCCCACTGCACGCTGCACCACACCAGGCCGTGGCCGAGATCGATGCTCTCTACGACGTGTATCTAGATGTGATTGACAAGTGGGGCACTGACGTAAGTGGGGGTGGGGTGGGGCAGGGAGTTGGGGAAGTGGCTCTGCACACACCTGGGTGGGTTAGGGAGCCGAGCCGTGGGGCAGCGTGGGCTCAGTGACTGGTGCCCGCAGGACATGCTGTTCCTGGGCGACTTCAATGCCGACTGCAGCTACGTGCGGGCGCAGGACTGGGCCTCCATCCGGCTGCGCAGCAGCGAGGTCTTCAAGTGGCTCATCCCGGACAGCGCTGACACCACCGTGGGCAACTCGGACTGCGCCTACGACCGCATTGTGGTGTGTGGCACGCGCCTGCGCAGGAGCATCAAGCCCCAGTCGGCTGCCGTGCACGACTTCCAGGAGGAGTTCGGCCTGGACCAGACTCAGGTATCCCCCATGCCTCCGGGGATGTGGGTTGGAAGGAGGCCCCGGCCTCTCCTCTGTGGCCTCCGTTCAAGCCCAGGGAGCTGTCCCTGAGTGTGGAGTCCTGTCCTCCACGGGGGCCCAGCTCCTCTTGTGGGTGGAGCCAGGGATGGGGAGCGGGCACGAGGCTACTGGCCACGATCCCTGAGGCTCCATGCTGCTCTCCTTCCAGGCTCTGGCCGTCAGTGACCACTTTCCTGTGGAGGTGACCCTCAAGTTCCACTGAGAGCTCTAGGCCTGGCCAGGGCATGCCCCCTGTAGACTCTGGCCATGGGGGGCAAGGGCAGTTGGGTGTGGAAGGCTACAGGACCATGAGGATCTCTGAGCTCCTCATTCATGGGCACCTGCCTCCCAGGGTGGCTGGGAATGGTCTACCATGCCCACCATGAGGGCCAAGAGGAGCACTCAGGGCCAGTGCCAGTCAGGCCTCCTGGGCCTCTTGGGGCAGGCACAAGCTGAGGTGCAGCCCAGCATGTGGGTGTGCCCAATCCCTTTGGGGATGGGCCGGCCTGCCCACCTCCTTCCTGGGGCAGAAGCTGCTGGGCGTGGCAGGTCGGCTTCCTGGACCATCGCGAGTTTTGGACTTGTGTCCCTGAAGCCTGTCTCATCCAGTGTGTCGGCACTGCTTGCTCACAGGGTCCCAGTCCCAGGGCAGGCTTGGCAGGGGGTAATGGGCGGACTAGCAAAATAAAGAACCAAAAGGAACTGAAAACTGGAAAATACCTTGTTGAAACCCCCTGGGCTGGGCAGCTGCCGCAGGGCACAGTGGCTCCCCTCCTCCCCGTCCCCGGCAGCCGGGCCTTCAGCCGCCCTTCTGTCGGAGTTTCTGTAAGTATGCCTGCAACGACTTCTGGATGGAGTCCCGGGACACGAAGCCGACGAAGTTCTGGATGTCGGCGTCCCGCTGCTTCACCAGGCGCTCTGCTGTGGCCTTCCGCATCATGCTCTTGGTCAGCTGCCGCGCGTGGTCTGAAGAAAAGGGGTCCACCTGGGGAAACCCACCTGCAGAATGGCGGGGCCCCACCCTCCCACAGGAGCCCTCAGAGGCGTGGCCCCACTGCCTGCCGATCCCTTCAGAAAAGCACTTTGCTAATGTGCCGTGTCTATGGAATCATGTTACTGAGAACATTCCTTCCCAATATTTTTAAAGATTTATTTATTTGAAACACAAAGAGGGAGAAAGGCAGAGAGAGAGAGATCTTCCATCCACTGGTTCACTCCCCAGCTAGGATGGCCAGGGCTGGGCTAGGCTGAAGTCAAGAGTCAAGTGCTTCATCCAGGGGCCCCCATGTGGGTCAGAGGCCACGCCCTTGAGCCATCTGCTCTAGCTTTCCCAGGCACATTCGCAGGGAACAGCCCCACAAGTGGAGCATCCAGGACTCAAACCCACACACAGAGACCAGCACCATGGGCAGCTGAGCCTGCCGCACAGGCCCCTAGAGCATTCCCGGCTAGAAAAAAGGGCAGCACGCCATTCAACAATTTGTCCAGCAGAACGGCAGGAAAGCGCAGCTTCCCAAACCCTTTAGGTATTTTCATTTTTAAAGACTTGAGAAGCAGACCAGATGAAGCTGCTGCTTGCAATGCTGGCATGTCACATGACAGTGCTGGTTCGAGTCCCATCTGCCCTACTTGTGGTCCTGCTCACTGCTGGCATGCCTGGGAAGGCAGCATGGTATGGCTCACATGCTTGGGCCCTGCACCCCCGAGGGCAGCATGGAGCTCCTGGATGTGGCTTGTCCCGACCCTGGCCAATGTGGCCATCTGGAGCGAGGCCCAGTGATGGGAAGATCTGTCTCTCCCTCTCTCTGTAACTGCCTTCCAAATAATGAATAATCTTAAAAAAAAGGGGGGGGGATGGTATTGAGCCCAAATGCCCAGCCATGTGCACGCTGGTTTCTGTGCTCTCTGCCTGCCATCCTATGCGAGGGCTCAGGCCCACAGAGCAGGCGAGCCACCTGGCTCTTTATGCATAAGCCTGCTCATCCTCTCTGCCAGCAAGACCTCCTTGGTCTCCATCAACAAGCACTCAGCTTCCCAGCCACCCCCAGAGTGGCCCCAAGGGTTGTGGGATCCTCACGCCTGAGGACCCATTTTCCTGGTTTTAATCAAGCTGCCAGTCCTTGACTGGGGACCTCAATACAGCCACTCTGAGAAATGTAGTCTTGCCTCACAGGACCAGGTTGGGGAGGGGAAAGGTGAGGAAGGGCCCATTTGCTGGCGACCCATGGCTGCCTTGCTCACCTGGGATGGCCATCCACCGGGCCAGCACCGACAGCGCTGTGCTCTGCACTTGGTCTTCGGGCACCACTTGGTCCACCATGCCCACCTTGAGGGCCTCTGCCGGTGGGAGGAGCAGCCCCAGCTGCAGAGCCTGCTCTGCAGCCCGGTGCCCAATGGTGTTCACGAGGGTGTCTTTGAACCTAGGACACATGTCCACTCGCTGGACATGGGTGTACTCCCAGGAGGGTCTGCCCAACTCCCAGGGGCTCAAGCAGGTGCAGTAGCAGCCTTACCAGAAGGGGGCAACAATGCCCAGCTGCGTCTCGTTGAGCCCCATGACGTACTTGGGGTTGTCAGCCATGACGCGGTAGTCGCAGCTGAGAGCCATGAGACAGCCGCCGGCGGGACTGGCTCCCTGTGAGGAAGCAGGCCTGGTGTGCCGAGCCCTGCACCAAGGGGACTGGAGCTGCCCCAGTCCACGGGCCAGGGTAAGTAGCCTCCGCTGCTGTGCACAGCCAGCCCTGCCCTGCTCCTTCAGGCTGGGCAGAACAAGGGCTCTAAAATGTTTGCCCACGTCCTTCAGGCCAGTTGCTACACAGCATAAGCACTTACGCCCCTCACAACCCCCCGTTGGGCTGCTCGAGGGCCTGAGGCCGCCTGGGGGTGGGGACGCTCACATTGATGGCGGCAACCAGCACCAGGTTGGACAGGTAGAGCCGCAGCCATAGCTCCTGCACGGCCTTCCAGTACTCGGCGTAGTGGGCAGGGCTTCTCCCGCACATTTCTGTCAGGTCCAGGCCGGCAGAGAAGATGCCAGGGCAGTCCTAGGGGATGTGGCCGCGGTCAGGTGCCTGCCAGTCCACCTCCAGACTGGCCCTGTGTCACCAGGGTTGAGGTGCCCAAGGGACAGTGGGGTTAGAGCCAGGGGCTGCCCCAAGGAGCCCGAAGCTGTGGTGCCTGGGGCCTTGGGTCTGACCTCCTGGGATCTCGTCGCCCTCAAGCTGCTGTCCCCTCCACAGCTTCTGACTGCTCGGAGGACAAGTGCAGCTGACAGCTCAGGTGCGCAGTTGGCTCCAGGATCTGATTTTGCCCCGAAGGGCCAGGCAAGCTGCAGATCCCTGCAGGGGCAGCATCTGGGAGGCATGCTCTGATGACCCAGGTTGCCACACAACTACCAAAGATGTGCAGGGGTGAAAAGAGACAGCCAGGGCAAAGGGCTCGGCCAGGACAGGCTCATCGGGGTCAGCACAAGCCCCCACGGCTCCTGAGAGCACAGCCTGGGAGGTCCTTGTGGGGGTTGGCAGATTCGCTCACCATGCTGCCTGGAAGGGGAAGACAGGGGTGCCAGAGTCTACTCCACCCCCTGACAGCTTCCTGAGCTCGCCCCCTCTGTGCCTCCCTGTCCACGCGGGCCAAGCTAACGACACTGACAATTGAGCCATCAGGCCCGTGGGAGACACAGCAGAGCAGGCTGTGGGTGAAGTGTGCACCTGCTCAGCCCATGCTGGTGACCTGCTGGCCATGACTGGCCTCTGAAAAGTTGTCAGGAAGCCCCAGGTAACATAGGGCTCACGGGCAGGCGGCTTTGGACAGGGACCGCAGGGTGGGCAGATGTGGCCTGTGCCAGACCTGCCTCAGGGCTGAGGACCCACTGAGGCCCAGATGGGGGCCCCCAGGGTGATAGGGGCCACCCACCGAGGTGAGGAGGACGCCCCGGAAGCTCTTATCATTCTCAAGCTTCTCCAGGCTGATGACGAACTCTGTCAGAAGCTCCAGGCTGAGGCTGTTCACTGGGGGGCTCCCGAGTTTCATCACGGCGACCCCTGAGTCAAAAACAAGGAACGGGACACTGGTGTCCAGCACATCCCACCTGTTGGCTTGCTCCCCAGAGGACGACAGCCAAGAATCCCAGCCTGGTCTCCCAAGCACAGGGGTCCTGCTCCTGCCTGCCCAGGCACATTAGCAGGAAGTTGCGTTGGAAACCAGAGCAGCCCAAAACAGGAGCATACAGTGTCCCGCACACTCTGATGGGCATGTGGGGCCCAGGTAGTGGCTGAGTGCGCTGTGTCCTAGCGCTGGCTCTGGTGTGAGGCTGCTGATGGGTGAGGCTCAGGCTGTAGATGAGCTCTTTTTAAAGTGAGCAACTTCCTTCCTTAAGCACATTCAGCAGGACACCACTGCCCCAGGGGCGCTCCCCTCCACCGTTGCAGCCTCAGGCTCAGGCAACATGCTGAGCCCTATAAGGTTTTTCGCTATAAAACATTTATTTTTGGGCCCAGCATGGTGGCCTAGTGGCTAAAGTCCTTACCTTGAACACACCGGAATCCCATATGGGCACCGGTTCTAATCTCAGCAGCTCTACTTCCCATCCAGTTCCCTGTTTGTGGCCTGGGAGAGCAGTTGAGGACGGCCCAAGGCTTTGGGACCCTGCACCCATGTGAGAGACCCGGAGGAGCTCCTGGTTTGTATTGGCTCAGCACCGGCCATTGTGGTCACTTGGGGAGAGACTCAGTGGACAGATCTGTCTCTCCTCCTCTCTAAACTTGCCTGCTGCTGCCTCCTTGCTATCTATTGCACAAAGGAGAGGCAGGCCTTTTTTTTTTTTTTTTAAGATTTTATTTATTTTTACTGGAAAGTCAGATATCTAGAGACGAGGAGAGACAGAGGAAGAGACCTGTCTTCGGGCATGCTCATCTCAGAGACCTCAGCACAGCATTGGTGGAGGGACACACCGGCTCTCTGGCCAGTCTGGCCTCAAGCTGACATCCAGCTGACCTCAGGGGTAGCAGGCCGGCCCTGTAACCTGCTGTGTCCTGGGCTGAGCTGCAGCCTGTGTGCATCCACTCAGCCCCAAGGACAGCAGCTTGGACTGAGGCCAGCTGGCAGTGTCTGAGGCAGTGCTTCCAGCCCCCGACCAGCTGGTCTTCCTGTGCTCTGAAAGCCAACTCCTGGGCCCTCGTGGGAACAGGATTCTCTCTTTTCTCCAGGAGAAAAATCTCAGACAAAAAAAGTTGTGCCAGGACACACCTAGTGGGGCTCTGGCTCAGGTGTGCTGGAAGGGAGGGACTAAAAATACATGGACACAGTCCTGGGCTGCCCACGCCTGTGCCCGCCTTGTGCCCCAACCGCACCACCGTGGGCTGCAGGGACATGGCCCATGCCTGCCGGTGACTCTGTGGTCCACACAAGTCCTTCCCTGGAGTGATGACCAAGTCCTCAGAGAACATAGCTGCTGGCTCCAAGTCTACCCAGGCAAAACCGTGGGAAACGGACAGTCAGGTGGATCTGGTCTAACAGTGACTTGGCAGCTTCCCGTTCTGGGTTCTGGAGGGACTGAGTTCAGCTGCCTAGCTTCAGCGCTTGGCTCCGACTTCTTGCTCCAGGTGGCTCTGGGGTTGCCTGGGCAGCGGGACCCCTGCCGCTCGCAGGGGAGCTACAAGAGTACTTTGGAATCAGCTTGGTCCTGGCTGTGGTGTGGACATTTGGGAAAGTGGATCAGTGGATGGCAATAAATATTAAATGTAGTTGTTGCTGTTGTTGTTTTTTGAAATAGTGTGAGATCCACAGTTCCAGAAACAAGCTGCCCAGGTGGTGGGGAAGGTCACAAGGTTTAAAGGTGAACATGAGCTAACTGCAGGAGGAGCTAGACAGGGTGGACTCTGGGTAAAGGTTTCCTCAAGGACCACATGGAGGGATCCACACACTCGGCGGGGGCGCCGCCGGGGGTCCTCGGTTCTAGGGCCAGCACTAGATCCCAGCTGGCGGGGGCAAACTCCCCGTACAACAGGCTGCTGAAAACGCAGGATTCAAAGCAGGAGCTGCTGTGGCCCTGGGCGTTTTTCCAAACCCATGCATGCTGTTCATGACACATTTTCCCCCAAAAGCTCTGTATTGTAACACCTGATAAAGTTAACCCTCCCCGCCGTTAAAAATTTTTTTCCTTCCCCGCACTTTGATAACATGCAACTTCCTCACAGACAGGAGCCTTTCAGAAACACAAGTTCTCGCCGGACCCGGTTGGTTCTAAACCCGGGGTTCGGCCTTGTCCCGGGGGAGGCGGCCGGGCAGCGCCGTGCCCGCGGGCAGCACCGAGCCAGCCCCACACCCCCACACCCCGACAGCTCGGGTGGACCCCCGAGCTCTCCCACCCCTCTCCGAGGCCCCTGCCCGCTCACCTGCGGCCGGGCCCGGCTCCACCAGCACCTTGTGGCTCGCGAAGCGCCGCGCGCCGTCCCCGCCGCCGGCCGCCGGCCGCCCGCGCCCGGCTCGGACTCCTGCCACACGGGAGAGAGGAGGAAGGCGCGTGGGTCCCAGCCCGGCGCCCCGCCACGCGCCAGCTCCGCGGCCCCCGGCCATTCCACGTACCCGCGAAGAGCAGGGCGCGCGAGGGGACGCGCAAGGGGACGCGCAAGGGGACGCGCAAGGCCGCCGCCAGCGCCATCTTGGCCAGCCTGGCCGCCAGGGGCGGGGCCGCAGGGAGGGAGCCGGGCCCCGCCCCCAGGACATGCTGCGGGACCCCGTCCCCAGGAGGTCATGCTGCGGGACCCCGTCCCCAGGAGGTCATGCTGCGGGACCCCGTCCCCAGGAGGACATGCTGCGGGACCCCGCCCCCAGGACATGCTGCAGGACCCCGCCCCCAGGACATGCTGCGGGACCCCCAGCCACAGGTGCTGTCCCCAGAGCTCCAGGAGGAAAGGGGGGTTGTTCTGGCCTGTGCCCCTTGTCAGGAAGTGGCCCTGGCGTTCCGGCCGCGCCCCAAGGCTTAGGCTCTGCAGCAGGGAGGGCAAAGGGCCCAGCCCTGGCCGCGCTGCGTCCTTGTGGGGAACAGAAGTGGAGGGGGCACAGCCTCGGGCCCTTGTCCCTCAGAGAGGCAGGTCCGCACACTCGGGCATCTCAGTACTAGAGGATCCTGGGAGCATTTCTGCCCCACAAGCCACCTGTCCAGGCTAGACAAGGGGTTAAAGGTGAGTGGGCCTTGCGTGGGCAGCAGGGACCCTGAAGCGGAAGTGGTGTGAACGGACACCTGTGCCAGGTGGGCCGGGCAGGAGGTGGCCAGTCTGCGTCCCCGCTCAGGCCTGGCTGAGCTTTCCCCAGCACAGGCCCAGAACACACAACAAAAGCCGCAGCACTCTGCACTCTAATCCTAAGTTTATTCAACACAATTCTTCCACTCTACACAACAAAGTACAAACACATTATCTAAAATGCTGCAAAGTTATAAAACTCAACTTAAGAATTTGATAGTACTGACTGTACAATAAAAGCAAAGCAGAAACAAAACAAAACAAGCACGCAATGTACATGTTGTCAAGGTAACCAGTGACGCCACCGTGAGTGGCAGATGCCAAGGGGGTGGGGACAGTGCACTGTGATGCCCTGCAGAGCTGGCTCTCAGGGACACACAGGCAGGCTCCAGCCCGGCCCCAGGCACCCTGCTGTCCCCGAGGGCACCACAAAAGGGACCTTTCCAGCTACGGAACCTGCAAGGGCATGACCCCAACCCGCACGGTTTCTGGAACGTGACCCGCACAGCCAATGTCGTGACCGTCCCCTCCGAAGGCTGTCCGAGCAGGGAATTCCTTTCCTACGGATCTGATCCCGGCTAGCAGGGTGACAAAACTGAGTTGGACAGGGCATAAAGTTACAGGGGAAGGAATTCTGGTGGCTGCTTATCGGGAAGAGTTGGAGCTCGAGCGGCTCCTGTGACGCCGGCGGCCGGGAGAGCGGGACCGCCTGCGGACGGGGGACCTGCGGCGCGGTGAGCGGGACCTGAGGGGAGCAGAAAACAAGTTAGCCCTGGAAGCATGGAGCCCGGCCCCCTCCTGGGATCCTGACCCCTCTCCACTGCTGAAGCTTCCCAGAGAGCTCAAGATGGCAGTGCTGGAAGGACCCAGCATCTCTGGGGGGACCCTGCTGCCCGCTGCCACTGAAAGGCCTCCCCGCCCCCGTACTCTGCAGGCACAGCAGGCCCGGACCAGCTCTGAATTACCTCCTCCTCATGCGGGGTGGTGACCTGCGCCACATGGGAGGCGGCGGCAGCATCCTCCTGGGGGGACTGAAGCGCCTCGGGGGCGGCCTGGGCCAGGGGGCCAGCACGGCGGTCGCAGTGATTTCCTGGCCATCAATCTGCCCTGCTGGAACAAGCAAGGCTCAGTGAACCGGCACCTACGCCAGGAGGCGGGGGCAGACAGGGCAGGGCCGAGGGCGAGGTACAAGGCGCAGTGCGGAAGCGTGGCACCAAATGAAGGGGGTGGGGGTTGCGACTGCAAGAAGCCAGGGGTAACCCGCAGGGCCACAGGCAGCCTAGGTACAAAGGAAATGGAGGTGCAACTCTGTCCACCACAGGAGACTGTGCACGCGGCTGTGGGTGTTTGAGGCCCCGCTCCACTCCAGGTCCTGCTTTGTCTTTTTAACTTCAACCTCCCAGGCCACCTCAGAAGCACCTGGGTTACCTGAGATACTGGACTCTTGTTATACATACCCAACTAGGCTTAACTTAGCAAACAGCCCGAGGCTTCCCTAGTTCACTGCCAGACCAGACCAGACCAGACCCAACTGGGGGCCACAGGGAATCGACTACACAGTCACGGACAAATCCACCTTCCCGGCAGCTGCCAGTGGAGGGGCTGCCCGGGAAACCCCAGTCACACACGTCCCCAGGCTCTTAGTGAGTGACAGCTGGTGCTGAGCAAACACTTCCCACAGATCTAAGTCAACGGAGAGAAGCTGCCTAAGTGCTGAGGGACCCAGAGTGCTCCTGCGGCTGTGGCTGCGCACCCAGCCCTTGCCCACTCAACTAATGCAGCCAGGACGCTGATCGAAAGACAAAATGGTCATCAAAAACTACAGAGAACTATATACTTACACGTCATAAGCAGTCCAAGGGACACAAGTAGGTGGAAAAAGTAACTAGCAAGCCTACCACTCACTAAATCAACCCTAGAAATGCAAGACCAGAAACCAAAGCCTCGCAGCAGCGGGCTGTGGCAGGGAGGTCTGCCAAAGTACTGCTTCAGTGCCACGTTCCAGCCCGGGTCACGTCGGGTCTGTTCACTTCTCTGCCCACAGGCCTGAGAAGGCAGCAGTCGGCGTGGAGGAGAGGATGAAGCCCCAGGCTCCTGGTCTTACCTTGGCCTAACCTGGTTGCTGTGACAGAGGCGGACGGAAGGAAGATGCTGTCATTTCTGTCTTACACGAACATAATAACGGGGGCTGGTGCAGTAAGCTAACCCTTCACTTCAGCTCTGGCATCCCACTTGGGAACGGTTTCACATCTGATCTGACTCTGTTAGTGGCTTGGGAAGGCAGCGGAAGATGCTTAACTCCTTAAGACCCTGCACCTGCACAGGAGACTGAGCGGAAGTTCCGGGCTCCTGGTTCAGCCATTCAGGAAGTGAACCAGTGGTTGGAAGGTTTCTGTCTGAATCTGCCTTTCAGATAAAGACAATCTTACAACCCGATACCCTAGTTCTCAGCCACGGATGTTCCCCTTCACACCAGCGTCCCAGAGCCCCCAGAGCCCACCTCCATCCATGTGCTTCAGGGCCTTCTCCGCCTCGTCGGGATTCTCAAACTCCACATAGGCGTAGCCTTTGGAGAGATGTGGATGCATTCTGTCGACAGGCATGTCAATCATTTTAATCTTCCCATAGGTGGAAAATATCTCCATGATGTGGTCCTACAAAAGCAGGTAACAGAGCATTCAGCACCCCATGACTGACACTGGTGTACTGCCACCTAACTGGGACAAGCCTCCCAGCCTGCCAAGAAGCTCCTGGACTCATGGTCCACCACCAGGCCAGCTCTGGCAGGCACGGGCAGCTCCCTGCCCCTCACCTTGGTCACATTTCTGGTTAGCCTCCCAATGTGTACTTTGGTGGGTTTTGGGGACGGGCTCCGTCGTTTCCTTTCCTTTTCGTCTCTCTTAGGTGGCTTGGATCTGATTGGGAAAACAAAATGAAACGCCTGCAACACCTTCTGTCAAATCAAAACGTACTGGACTCTCAGTGCAAAATTAGCTGTGTGCCCAAGTTTTCAGAGGGAAGAATTCCCTACCAGTCTAGGTGCACAATGCAGCCTACAAAGCCTAGAGCCTCTGGTCTGTTTATGCCACTCCCGTCCCCCCGTGGGAGCGGGTGCTCACTTGGAGCGGGAACGTCGCCGGTTGTCATGCCTGCGCCGAGAGGGGCTTGGGGAGCCTGAGGAACTGCTGGAGCTGGAGCTGCGCGAGGAGCTGGAGCTGCCGGAGCGGCTGGAGGCCGAGGAGGAGCTGGAGCCGCTGCTCGAGCCCGTGCTGGTACTGGAGCCCGAGCTGGAGCTGGAGCTGGAGCGAGACCTGAGACAGGACAGGAAGGCGACCCTGTAATGGGCACGAGCGTGGACCCCCGCTTCAAGCCTCTGCTTCCTCCCCAGTCCCGCCACTTCGTTCCTGCAAAGAAACCTTTCCTGCTTTGGGCTTCCACAGGGCCGAGGCCGCCACATCGCTTGACCCAGGACTCTGAGCACACACCCCGAGCCCACTCCTGAACATGCAGAGAAGGGGCACCCTCTTCCCACGGCCGGCGGCCAGGCATGCGTGCTTGGTGGCTAGCTGAGGAAGAGGCCGGGCTGCTGCCGGCCAGCCAGCCCACCTGGTGCTGCTGCTGCCGCTAGAAGCGCTGCGCCGCTTCCGTGCCTTGTCGCGGCCGCGGTCCTTCTCCCCCGACTCCTTGGCGGCCCCTTTATCTTTAGAGCGATCCTTAGGCTTCTCATCAGAGCGATCTTTGCGCTTGGTAGGAGAAGGAGCCCTGCGCGGTGAGGAAGAGTGTGAGAGCGCTTGCGCCTCCGGCCAGGCCCTAACAGCACAGCCCGGAAGAGGGGACCCAGAAAGGCCGGAGACCCCAGTGCCCACAGAGTTGACTGTGGCACGGGACACGCACTGTGGGACGCACTTCCTGAGGGTCCTAGCAGTTGCGCACCCCCAATGTAGCACTAGAAAAATCTTAGGGAAGGATTACCTAGTGCTGGACTTTTTATTATTTTCTTTGACTCCTAGCAAGCTCTTCTTTTTCACTCCTGATAAATCCATTCTCCCCTTCTGAGGTGTTCAAAGCAGCAGTGGCGGCCTCACTTATCTGAACTCTCACTTCTAACTCGATTCTGAGAAACGATCCCTAATCGATTGCAATTTACGCCAAAGAGCAGCCTAATAACAAGATAAAAGGAGTTCAAGATGAATGAATCGGCAAGGCAACAAGTTCACTTTGCAGAAACAAAGCTCAACAGACAAGGCGGCACAGGAAGCAGGGCATGCGGCAGGACCACCTGCTGGGCAGATGCGCAGGAGGCAGCGGGGTGGCACGAGGGCTCACTGCCAGGCCCCCGCAAAGGTGATGACGCCACACGCATCCAGTGCGGCACTCTGGACGGGGTCAGCCCTACCCCAGTCCAGGCTTCCTTTCA